CTGATGCAGATTTTTTAAATCTTTAAAAATAAGAAAAAAGTGTATTTCAATGTTAAATATGATTTCTAAAATGTAATAAATATAAGGTTGCTTAAATTGTACTGTTAATACTAAATATGCCATTGATGAACAGTTACAAAATGCATTGAATTGTTTTATGAGAAAAATATCTAACTTTGAGCTTAATATTTAATACTAAACCCTCTTCTTAAAAGAGAAAAAAAAACAAAAAAGGAAAATATGTTGCTTGGAAAAAATAAGTAACTAAATATTTAATTTCTAACTTCCTTCTTTATACGCCAACTGATTTAGTGTTTATAAATATTTAGACCTCTGTTTAGACATTTAGCTTATTGAAAGGGTCAGAACATGAAATATTGTGGTTGAATTGTATATGTGACAGCTATTACTCAGAAAAAAAGGAAAAGCACTCTTGAAGGGGTAGGCTGTAATTTTTTCATGGACTGAGGCTGCCCTCAGAAACCTCTATTTTTCAAGCAAGCAAAAGATTGCTGTGTTACATTATTCTAGCTTGAAGTTGCTTTGTATTTTGGAATGTATTGCAGCATTAATATTTGGATAAAAGGAGACGGGGCAAATCTTTTCCACAAAGAATAAGTGGGCATTTTGCAGCATTTTAAACTTTTCCCTTTAAGTTATAAATCCCTCTGAATTCTTGCAGAGAATACTGCAATCTTGCAGTATTGCTTCCAAACTCAGAGATCCAGGTTTGGTATGGAGCTGATAAGAACTTGATCCCTGAATTTGTGAGATACTTTTACCCTTGCATAGGCTTCTTTGCCTACCTGAAAATACAAATCACCAAGTAATTCAGCCAAATCAAAAAGGACTGGTGTACTGAAAGAGTGTATTTCAGAATACACTTTACATGGCGTAGGTGCTGAAAAAGCAAGTTCTCGCATACCAAAAAAATTGGCCTTGACTAAGAAGAGAAAAATATGACTTCTTAAATTTAAACAGAAGGCTACAACTGCCTTGATAAAAGTGCTTACAATAAAATATAAAATTTGAGGCCACAGCGGAAGAAATTGTTTTTTTTTTAATTGTATGGAGAAATTGCATCCCAACAAATATCATACCTTTTTCTGAAATTCAAGTAAGTAAAAAATAGGCTTGCAATGGGCAGATAAAAATTTGAAAAAAACCCTTTTAACTCTGAGGGTTAGCAGAGTTTCTTGTGAAAAAAGGTTGATAACATTTAACATTGCAATATGGAGGGTATATATTTTTTTAAAAAAAAATAGTTTTTAAATATTTTACAGTTTTAAAACCAAAAACATAATCGAAAAAGACAAAAAACTAAAAAAGAAAAAAAAAGAAAACATACACATACACCAAATGGTTAAATACAAAACATAAATATTATAAATATTATGTAATATTTTACAATTTTCTCCATCGACAATTTACTTTTAAATTCAATCTTCCTAATCATTCTCTTATTCTTGTATAACCATATTGAACACTCTTGTAAACAAAATTGTTATATATAATTACATCCTATTTATTAACATAATCAGTATTTTATCCTTACCAGTATTCAATACTCTTAGATTCCAATTAATCAAATTTCAATTTACATTCTTATTTCTTGTTTTGATTTCTATTTTCTAGCCATATATAGAAACTATTCCACACTTTATAGTAGTCCGAATCATCTCTTCCTTTAATCTCCATTGTCATTTTATCCATTTCAGCACATTCGAGGATCTTTTTAATTACTATTTCTTCAGGGTGTATTGATCTGTTTCCACATTTGCGCCAGAGTAATTCTGGCCACCGTTAGTATATGCAATGTTATGTAGTACAAACTTTTCTCCATTTTCTTATCAATCATTCCTAGAAGAAACAACTCCAGTTTGAAATCAATATTTTGGAGTGTAATCTCTTCTAACCACCTTCTGATTTTATACCAAATTTTTTTAACACCGGGGCACATCCACCACATGTAGTAGTATGTTCCTAATTTATGGCCACATCTCCAATGTTTAGGTGATATATTGGGGTACATTTCTGCCAATCTCGCTGGTGCTAAATGCCATCTATAAAACATTTTATAGCTGTTTTCTTTGTATGTTACTGCCATAGTCAATTTATATTTTCCCCCCCACAATTTCCCCATTTTTCCAATTCTATAGTGTGTCCAAAATTCCTAGCCCAACTTATCATAGTTTCTTTCACTGTTTCTTCTTCCAATTTATATCTTAATAGGTAATTATAAATATTTGTAAACATTTTTCTCCCGATCCTAATAATATTTTATCTAGTTCCAATTGTTTCTTGTTTATGCCAAATTGTTCCTTATCTTTTTTAAATCTAGTTTTGATTTGTAAATATGGCCACCATTCCAGATTTATTCCTTGTTTTTTCAGGTCTTGTACTGATTTTAATTCACCTTTTGTGTCTAATAATTCTATATATCTTACCATTTTGTCTAAATCTGTGGTATTTGGATGTATCATTGCTTCCATTGTAGACAACCAAATTGAGACCTTCATATAGTGCTTCTTTTTAATCTTTTCCCAAACTTTCAGTAGGGCATCTCTTAACATGTGTCTTTGAAAATAGGTATGTGATTTATTTGTCCCATCCCAGAGAAAGCCATGCCAACCAAGTTAGAGGTCATGGCCTTCCATTGTTAGTATTCATTTATTTTTGAGTTGTATCCTAGGGATGCCGCTTGGTAGTAAAGTTCCCATTCTGGTAAACCGAAACCTCCTTTTTTCCTGCTATCTTGCAGTAATTTGAATTTGATATGCATTTTTTTCCCTGACCATATAAATTTTGATGTCATTTTATTTAATTGTTCAAAAAAAAATTTCCCTAATTTTATTGGTACCGTTTGAAATAGATAAAGTAACTTGGGTAATATGTTCATTTTGATTGTTGAAATTCTGTCAATTAATGATATTGGTAATTTAGTCCAATTGTCCAGATATTTTTGTATTTTAATAGAAGTGTATCATAATTATCCCTCTTTATCGTGGTACATTTTTCCGATAGCCAAATTCCTAAATATTTAATTTTCTTTGCTCTCGAGATTCCCAGCTTCTCCTCTAGTTCTTCGTTCTGTCTGTTGGTTAAATTCTTAGTCAATATTTTAATTTTGTCTTTATTCATTTTAAATCCTGCTACCATGCCAAATTGGTTTATATCTTGTAATAAAGTAGGTCCATATTCTAAAGGTTCCTCAATAATGAATGCCAAATCATCTGCGAATGCTTGGACCTTATTTTCTTGTGATTTAATTTTTAATCCCTTTATTTCCGAATTGTGTCTAATTTGTGACATTAATGTCTCCACAGAAAGAATGAATAACAGAGGTGACAGGGGGCAACCTTGTCTTACTCCTTTAGCTATCTCAAAACTTTCTGTTTGTTCCCCATTTATTATTATTTTTGACCTCTGTGTAGTGTATATGGCTCTAATCATTTCTGTAAATTTTTCTCCAAAATTCATTTTTATTAATTGGTTTATCATAAAGTCCCAATTTAAGTTGTCAAAAGCTTTTTGCGCATCCAAAAATATCACAGCTACCTGTTTTTGAGGGTATATTATTATATTATGCGAGAAGAAATCACACCTTCATGGGAGTGAAAGAGGCAGTCGGGGGAGCATTACAAAGGTTGGCCACACAACTAGCATGATCAGGAACATTGTGGAAGATCTAACAAAGGATCAGTTCTCAGACATTGTTACTTGACTAATTTGTTTCCATGAACAGCTGAAAGAAAGATGCAAAACAAGATGGTTTTCTAGACCATCACCTCTAGGTTTTTTTCTTTCCCATCATCCATGACTGAAGATGTCTTGTTAAAAAAATGAAAGGGAATGCAATTTTGAGTGGACGAAAGGCAGAAAAAAGTATGAATCAATGCCCAGAGTCAGTTAGGTGAGATGAACTGTGTAAAAATTTAACAAATGAAATAAATACATTCTTCCGATTCCTCACCACCCTTTATGGGAGCTGTAGTAATACTGTAATAAAAGTTATTTGAAAAAGTTGCACCTTTGCACTCAAAAAAGATACCAATAGATGAGAAGAAGCAGAATTCAGAATCCGAATAGAGCTGGAAGGGACCTTGGAGGTCTTCTAGTCCAGCCCCTTGCTCAAGCAGGAGGTCCTATACCATTTCAGTCAAACGGCTGTCCAGTCTCTTCTTGAAAACCTCCAGTGATAAAGGGTCCACAACTTCGGAAGGCAAGCTGTTTCACTGATTAATTGTCCTCACTGTTAAGAAGTTTCTCCTCAATTCCGGGTTGCTTCTCTCCTTGATTAATTTCCATCCATTGTTTCTTGTTCTGCTGCCCTCTGGTGCTTTGGAAAATAAATTGACCCCCTCCTCTTTATGGCAGCCTCTCAAATACTGGAATGCTGCTATCATGTCCGTCCGTCCATCCACCCCCCCTTCTAATTCCGAATATTAACTGGGCTGGTATATCCTATTTCTTCTTAAATCCCCATCCAGAAGGCTACCGGTTAATTCATAAATTCCCATATTGCACTGCATTTAGTGCCCCACAGCCCCAGAGGGGAAAAAAAAAACCCTAGTGATGCTTACTATTGTGATGTTTACTCTGGTCCCTTGGAGACAGAGGAAAGAGGAAAACCCCCGAGCTTATTGAAAGGTACAGATACAAAGGAAGGCCGTCTCCGTCTTCGGTATTTCCCATAGGGCTCAAGCAGGCATCACTGGCTGGCGAGGAGTGTTAACCTTTGACGTGGGCGAATTCCCACTTTCCTTGCGAGGAAAAGGAGGGAGCGCTCCCGCCCCAATCCCTCCCCGCCAGAGGTCAGTCGTCCGGACAAATTCCTTCAACAGCTGGGCAAAAAAAAAAAAAAAGCCCTTGCCTTTCGTCGCCACAGCAACGCCTCAGTATCCGCAGCCGCGCCGAGCGGTTCCCTTTGCCTCTGGTCAGGAGGGGAAACCCAGCGCTCGCTCCCTTCCCTTCCTCTCGCTCCTCCCCTCTCTCTCTTTCCCGAGTAGGGTCGAAGGCGGCCGTGAGAACTGCGCTCCGGCTTAAACACAAGACCTCATAACAAGTGCCTCGTTTTCGCTCCCCCCTGCGCGCCTTCGCCCGTCTCATTTTGCACCGCGCCGCCTCAGCTGCCGCGGCAACATGGGCTCGACCCCAGACAGCCACGAGATGAACGGGCTGACCACGGCAATGGGGAACGGCAATGACAACGCCAACGCCAACGGGGACGCGACGCCTCCAGACGAGGTAAGAGGCTCTCGCTTTCTCTCGGGCGGGCAAGCCAAGAGGACAAAAACCCATTCAGCCGCGACCGGCCAGCTGCTTCTGGGCGGGAGAGCAGGGCGAAGGTGCCCCGCGGGCATGGGGTTCGTCAGCCAGCGCCGCGGAGGCCTGTGTATCCGAAGAGCCTGCTTTCCCTGGCAGGCAAGCGGGTAGAGGTCTCCTCTTGGCGGATGTTTTTTTTCGGGGGGCACCTCCGAAGGAACGAGGGGCTTCTTCCCGGCGCGGAGATTTCCCGTAAATCGCGTCTCGCTTTGGAATGCCTCCAAAGGCGAAGTTGGATCTCTTCAGACAGCGAGGGCGGCTTTCCGGCTGCTCGACTGGGAAAGATTTAATGCGCGGTGGGGGGGGGCTGCTTGGCAAGAGGCTGCTTGTTTTCCCGTGCATAGATGCCAGTGGGCAGTGTTGTGGAAAGAAAGAAAGAAAAAAACGATGGAAGACTGCAGAACTGGGAAGACTTTCCACCAATTTACAGGAAGAGACAAACAAGTGGCCAGATGACATATGGCTTCAGGGAAGAAAAAGAACCACGATTGGACTGTATTAAACTCACAGATTTAGAATAGATTTTTTTTTAATTGGCCAAGTGTGCTTGGACACCCAAGGAATTTGTCTTGGTGCATAGGCTCTCAGTGTACATAAAATAAAAGATAGAAGTTAGGCTAGGGAGAGATGGACTACTAGAGTGTACCAGCTGGAATCTGATTGGCCCCAAGTGATTTTCCAGGAATCTCTTAAAACGTGGTCCTGTCAAGAGGTTTGGGGATCTCATGGAAATAGGCAGCTGGTGAAATTGCTATAACGCATGTAAGACTTTAAATGCACTCTCCCATTGGTTTTGTTTATTTTTGTTTTTATTGGTTTCAAGGCTTTGTTTTTAATTGTTTTCTTTGAAATGTATGAGTCACCTGTGTGAAATGGGCAGCTATCTATATTGGACAAATAAATAAGTGATACACCTTCCTCTATCCATTCTGCAATTTGAGAAAAGGTGATTTAAACTTCAACAGAATTTCATTCTGAGACGGTGTAAGTGTGTTCTAGCCCCAAATGCTTCTTAACATGTAGAGAATTTAGTTCTTCATTTCCTTTATTCTGGAAGAAAATAGTTTTATAAATACCTTGATTGACTTCAGGCAAAGTATTTTTTGTAACACATGGGTGCGTTATGCAAGAAAGGGCCACAGTCACTCGTGCTTCTATCTTTTTTGATTTTAACAAAATCATCCCGAATTAAGGGGTTACAGGGTAAAAAAAGAAAAGAGTGTATCTGCCTTCTGTGAAACTGCTTTAGAACTCCTTCAGCAGTTTTATAGAAATCACATGGTTGAACTGAACTGGGTATCCTTTATGCTGGGGCTTACCATGGCACCACCCTGTCATCTGTTTTCAAAGTCAGGACTGAAAATGGGTGGGGGAAAGAAGAGCACCAAATGTCATGTCTATAAATATTGCCTTAGCTAGTCAGTCTCTGGGAACATTACCAACTTTTTATCACTTATCACATCAGTACGTCAAAAGGAAATTAGGGATACAAACTTAGTGAAGTAAAATCCTTTAAACTTGCCACCAACCTCACAAAAACCAGACAGGATTTTCTCTCATTTGCTTTTCAGTTTGGAGATGGAAAGGAATCCCATCCAAGCTTCAGTAGGAAAGGTGTGAGAAGGGAAGAAGATATGCGCTCCCCAGTGTAATTCTTTCAGAAACATCAAGAATGTATGTGGGTTGGAGAATTAATTTACACACATGTGGCAATGTCTCTAAGTAGAGAATGCAATCCAGTTTCTACAAAGAAACTGGCAACAGGTTCCCTCTAGACCAGTGATGGCTAACCTTTTTGCTGTTGCGTGCCAAGGGGGGGGAGCGGGGGTGGTGGTGTCGCGCACATGCGTGCCCCCACCCAGAATTCAATGTGCCCCCCTGTGCATGCGCACGTGACCCCCACCCCCGTGCTCCCTCCGCTTTTGGCACACGATGGAACAGTGGGCCTGGCAGGCCCATTTTTTGCCCTCTCCAGGCTCCAGAGGCTTTCCTGGAGCCTGGGGAGGGCAAAAACGGCCTTCCCCAACCCCCTGGAGGCCCTCCAGAGGCCAGAAATGGCCCGTTTCCCAACTTCCAGTGGGCCCAGAAGGCCCGAAAATCAGCTGGCCAGTGCACACGTGTGCACTGGAGCTGAGCTAGGGCAACGCTCGCGTGCCCACAGATATGTCTCCACGTGCCACCTGAGGCATGCATACCATAGGTTTGCCATCACAGCTCTAGACATTTTGAGATAATTCTCTTCTGTATGGTTATGGTCTTTGGGGATAATAAATTGTAGCAGGGCCTTTTTTTTTTTTTTAATTTGATTTATATGCCGCCCTTCTCCGGAGACTCAGGGCAGCTTACAATGCGTTAAGCAATAGCCTTCATACTTTTGTATACTTTATACAAAGTCAGCTTATTGCCCCCACAATCTGGATCCTCATTTCACCTACCTTAGAAAGGATGGAAGGCTGAGTCAACCTTGAGCCTGGTGAGATTCGAACTTACAGTAATTGCAGACAGCTGGTGTTAATCACAATGCTTTTAGTCTGCTGAGCCACCAGGCTCCTTTTCTGGATTCTAAATCATTACTGCCCCTACATTAAAAGGATGGCCTTCAGAAAGCATGTTTCTAGATAGACTTTTCTTTTTTTCAGAAATAACATGAATCCCCTAGTAAGGGGAGATCAGAAATTCTTTGCTATTAACTCTTGTTGCTTCGTAGTCATTGTACTTTAGGAGGAGAGCCATGTGTGACAGACAGGTGGGTTATGTGACCACCATTTGCCATCTTCTCAGCTGGTTTTTAACAAGCAAAGTCAACGGAGAAAGCCAGATTTACTTAATGACCACCTGATTCACTTAACAATTACAGTGATTTGCTTAACAACTTAAAAATGACCTTAAAAGGTCATAAAATCAGAGATAACTCACATAACAACTGCCTTGCTTGCAACAGAAATTCTGGTTCCAATTGTCATAAGTTGAGGACTACCTGTAGGTTGACATGTTTTTGAAGTCATCAGGAGTCAAGTTTGACTTGATAAGACTTTACTAAAACATCAGTCGTATTGAATATTGTAGAGATATTGAAAATACATCTTTGTCTTATAGCATGTCAGAATTTAAATGGTTACAAAACAAGAGTATAAGTCAGGAATATATGAAATCAAATGGATGTTACCTTGCAAGAAAAAAAATATTTGAATTGAATAATAGTTACAAGGATTCTCCAAAAGGGTCTTCATGTCCATCATCTCTGAAGCAAATTCCTATTTCAGAAAAATATTACTTATTTCTTATATTCAGTCATTCACTCTATTTAGCTTGTCTCACACACGAAATATCAAACTCAAGCTGAGAGGTTATAGGTTATATTTCTTTAAACATCTTATTTACATCCTCATAGGTTAATTTATTCCCTATTTGCTACCAAAGAGGAAATAATTTCTTAGAGCTTGTCAAGAGATAGGACATGCCAGATGTGTGTGTTTGAGCATTTGACAAAACTATGACATCTGTAAAAGTTTATGTACTGCTTTTTAAATAACTGTCTACTTCTTAGTTGGATGATTTTGAATCTCAGTGAATTATGCCAGCCAGAAGTGAAATTAGAAAATGCACGTGTCATAGCATTAAGCCTATGAATCAGATTCTTGTTTACTTTCTCCGCTTATCCAGCTGTTATTTCATGTTCAGGCATATTGTTCAGTGATATTGTAATAATTGACAAGCCACTACAAGATTCTACAGAATTTTTGTAATATCTCTCAAGATAATTTCATTATTGGGACTGATGTCTCCTAATATCTTGATTGACAAGCCAGTCTTTCTAATATTGGAAAATTTAATTTCATATACATATAGATCTAAGTACATTTTTTCAGTTTTTCACTGTAATTTGATGTCATAAAAGTTAAATAGTTAGTTTTTCCTCCTTTTTCTCCCCATTTATTCTCCTTTCCAATTGTCAGTGTTTCCCTTTGCCTGTTCAGACATCTGATAATCCTATCTAAAGGATTTCTTCATTGTAATAAGTTTAACAACTGGAAACAGTCTCAGTGAGGTGGATTCTTCATGGAATATATATTGTCATATAATTGCGGAACTGTCCTATTTCCGGATAAAATGACTTAGTCCAGGCATGAAAATTGTGTCACAGGGGAAAAAAATCATACAATGATGATGCTTTATCTGTGATGGAATGAATAATCCATTTTGTGAAGCCTACTTTCAACTTCCTTTTTGTGATGAAGGAATTGTGTAAAAAATTGCCGATTTGGCGTTTTGTAGTTGAGGAGCTGGGATGTCCTCGTGTCTTATAAAGCATATTCTGCAGAGAGAAAACATTAAAAGACATTTTTTGCAGAACAGAATTTGATTAAACATTTAATGGCTTTTTATGTAAATGAAAATGTCTGCCTCAAATTTAGGTGTGCTATTGATAGTGCTAATTCCTAACAACAGCCCTTACTTGCTATCATAGCATGTTAAAATATCTAAGTGAAAAGTAGATATAAATGGACTTAAATCCTGAGAAGCAGTTCATTGTGGTAATTAAACAATCGAGAATTCCCATTTAAATTACATTAGTGTACTTAAAGGTGTTTTCATTTAATTTGTCTAATGTATTCCTTTGAGATAAGAACAAAAAAGGAAATAAAGAAGGAAATAAAATATATACACGCCTAAATTCTACAAGATTGTTTACAATGGATGCTTTGTCTTCTGAAACAAGCCAAAGGTCCCATTGAAAATAGACATAAAGCCATTTCACAGATTGTACTAAGGCAGAATTGATGGAGCCAATAGATGTGATCCTTTGGGAGGAAGATTGGTGATGGTAGGTTGAGTCTTGCAGAGACTTAAAGCTTCAATTTCACCCATTAAAAGCCTATTTTCAGTGTTGCCCTCAATATGGCAGACAGACTTACTAGAATTTTCAAGTCAGTGTTACATAGTATTATAGTAGGGTGAATCCAAAGAAAGTGCTTGGTGGAATATATGAATCCTCTTTAAATGACATTGCTTTGAGTTAAACAAAGTTTCTTTCATAAAAGACCAATATTTCATTTTATGGCTCTTATTCAGTGACATCCAGTCACTTTCATCTTAACATACAAAGTTACTATTCATACAGGCTAGACCTGAGTTGTTGCATAGACCTGTAGTCTAGAGAAAAAAGCATGAAATGATGCTTTTAATATTAAAAGGTCAGTATTTACATTAGCAATAGGCTAAATGATGAAATCTCCCACTGTGGTTTAACACTTAAGCTCCACCTAACCTAAAATATTAAATAAACAAATCCTTTTCTCACTGTTGCTCTTTTCTACACCTAATGGATTTTCTGACAAATATATTGAAAAAATATTAGATGGAATTTTTTTCTGAAATGCTGCAAAGTTGTGGAAGTTGGGAGAATAACTCCCCTGAAGCAATATCCTGTGAAATTCTAAATATGTGTCTTAAATAGGGAAACTATTTTTTGCATAAGTTCTAAAATCTTATCTTGATTGCAAAAGCAGTCTTGTGAATACATACACATATTTTTGGTGCATAATTCCAATAATTGCATTCATTGCATTAAATTTTGAATGCTAAAATGGTAATTTTCTGAGTTCAACATGATTTTAATTCTGATCTCATTAAAATCATGTTTGATGGAAACAAGCCTGATACCAATTAGAACCGTGTCCTCTCACAACAGACTTTATCATAATGACACTTTTAGGAGTAAAATATGGCAAATGCGGTAAATAACAATAGGCATACTTTGAAGGGCAATAAAATAGTTATATAAAGTTACTGTTTCAAAAATGTTGCTAGTGAACAAGCTGTAAAATCCCCCAAAGTGAAAGTGAATTTAACAGAATAATAGAATGACAGAGTTGGGAGGTCTTTGAGTCCAAGCCCTTGCTCATGATTCAGGATTTTACTGGGAATGTTAACAGAGAATGCCAAATTGTAGTGCAGAAAAATGCATTGGAGGAAAAGGGAGAATCCAGTCATGATATACTCTCATTTCATTGAAAAGATCTCTACATCTTTTCTTGCTGCCTCATTAGGTGTATAAAAACCAGAGCTGTGCAAAGATCTGGATTCAAAAGGCTAAATGTGATTTAGAATGCATATGGGGGCGCACATAACAACTTTGGGAACTTGTTAAAGCAGATTTGTCTTTTTCTGTGCTAACAAGGTTGTTATGCACAACTGCCAGGAAATCCTGGAAAAATATACCGGTATGTTGCAGTTTGCTCTTCAAATCTGGTTCTCTGAAAAGTTTTACTCAATACAGAATAAAATATATTCTGTATTGAGTAAATTGTAAGGGACTTTGGAGGTTCTCTAATTCAACCCCCTGTGGATGTCTTAATAATTAAAAGGGATATACAAATAACAAACCGAGAGAATGTCCTGAATAATTCTATATTCTAATCATCCTATATTGGGGGCTTGTTAAAGCTTTGAAAAAGTTCATGAGAAAGGACAAACAAAAAATAAAAACAAATCAAATTCTAGGGCATTTGTAGGGACTAAAAATCAAAATTGTTGAAAGAAAAAGAAGGCAATATAAACTTGGTTTATTTGACCAAGATTAAAATAGATATGTTCTTATTTCTGGTAACCGTTAATGGACTTTTGTCATCAAGACTGAAATAATGAGGCTTCATGAATTTGTTTATAGATAAGAGATGGGTTATGGAAAGAAAATGTCATTTATTTTAAGAAAAGGTGATAAATTACTAAAATTGTTTATACTTATTTTGATGAAGGAGAAAGTTATTGCTGTGTGTGTATATACATATACATATACATATACATATACATATACATATACATATACATATACATATACATATCTTCTTTTACTATATTTTTCTTTTTCAAAAAAGCAACTGGATTCTGTTTTCCTTGAAGATGTTTCGCTTCTCACTCCAAGAAGCTTCTTCAGTTCAACGTCTTCAAAGAAAGCAAAGAAAGTCCAGTTGCCTTTTGAAAAGGCACCTTTGAGACAACCATGACCTGGATGGCTGCGAAACTTCATAGATATTTTTCTTTCTACTTTTTCCTTTTCTGTGCCTTCTTTTTCTTTTCTTCTTTTTTTATTGTTGCAATTGACTTTTTAAAAATAAAATTACTATTAAAAAGACAATATTCTAAGCATTTGTAGAGTGCCAAGTCATTATGTAACAACAGGTCACTTTGAAAAGAAAAATGCCAAAAGAAATGAAAATGAAAAAAAGAAAAATAATATAATTTTCTTGAGTGCAGAGCACAGGCTTAACTCAGCTTCAGTGAGTGCCAACAGTCTTCGGCCATCCCCTGAAGGTCCAAGAGTTCTGCATAGCAGCCTGCACATTTACCTTAATGGCCACAACAGGGAGAGCCAGGATTGTGGTCATTAAGTGAAACAGTCATGTGGGTGCCTTGCTTAATGATCCCAATGATTTATGGGTATATTTCTGGGCTCAGTTGTGGCTGGAAGTCAAGGTCTATCTCTATCTGCCACCATTTGTTCTGTAGCACAATTGCACACACTGTTAACACCTTACTCTTGCATGTTTTATTCATAGTGCTATTTGGTGCAAGTATACTTTGCTCTTGGATTAATTGTTTATTTTCATAGGTCTTATCAGTTATAAAACAGCAGAAACAAGATGCCTGACAAAAGGATATTACAACATGCCTGTTTCCTCTATTTGATTGTGTGGGAAAAGAACAGAATTAATATGGGGATTTTTTTTCACTCATTAATATTGCTGACATTTCAATTATTTTAGTACTTTTTATACCATGTAACTCTTGAGCAGATTTACTGCCGATGTGGAGCAATTTGTAGCTTACATGGAAAATAAATATGGAAGAAAGTATCAAATGGGGGAGAGGTCATTTCAGCAGCTAGCTATCCTCAAAACACGACCACAGAAACATTAACTGGGCATCCAATATTTTTTCTTTTCTTTTCTGATGCTATTTAAATATTTGATTTGATGCTCTTGTCTTTGCTGAAAAAGCAAAGGTTTTTTTTCAAATTCAACTGGACTTTCTGGTTTTTCTTTGAAGACGTTTTGCTTCTCATCCAAGAAGCTTCTTCAGCTCTGACAGGAAGAAGTTTCTTGGATGAGAAGTGAAACGTCTTCAGGGAAAAAAAAAACCAGAAAGTCCAGTTGCCTTTTGAAAAAGCACCTTTGGAACAACCATGACCTGGATAACTGAGAATCTCCATAGACATTTGATGCTCTTGGGTAACTTCTTTATCTTAGTAAAATGATTTCATTTAGTAAAATCTGTAAAAATTCTACTGAAATTGATGTAAGTGAGGAAACTTGGAAACATGTTTGTCTCCGTAGAAAGTCCTTTCTGGCCTGACTTTTGTGTGTTTAGTAGTATGCTATTTCTAAGTGCTTGATGTTTACTGGCTAAGCCATGATCTCAAGAGAATGATCAGAAATATATTCTGATTTTATAAAAAAAAACAAAACCCAAAAGTGTTTAGAAAAGAAGTATATTTCCCCCCAGTAATGGGATAGTTAAAACTTTTATAAAATAGAGAAAAAGAAAAAAAATGCTAAAGCATGGACATTTAAGCTGTTTCCTGTCATTTCCCAAACATAGGTCATGTTTAGACTTAGTTATATTCCTGCTGTGAATGCTATATGTTTTTTCTCCTCTCTCCTTTCATTTTAATATATTTGTAATGAAGTGTTTTAAGACAGCAGTCCCCAACCTTTCTGGCTCCAGAGACTGGGGAGGAGGGGATGGTTGCTGGTCTGCAATCTAGCTCCTGTGCATGCACAAATGAAGTGTCACACATTCGCCTACTGCTTACGTGGCCCAGTTCTAAACAGGCTGAGGACTGGGTGGACCGGGGATTGGGGACAGGGGTGAAATCCAGCAGGTTCTGACAGGTTCTGGAGAACCGGTAGCAGAAATTTTGAATAGTTCGGAAAACTGGCAAATATCATGTTTGGCTGACCCCAGAATGGGGTTGGAATGCAGATTTTGCAGTATCCTTCCCCTGCCATGCCCATCAAGCCATGCCACACCCATCAAGCCACGCGCACAGAACCGGTAGTAAAAAAAATTGGATTTCACCACTGGTTGGGGACCCTTGTTTTAAGATATTACAATATAATATGCAGTGGCCAATGCTATATCTCCTTAATCTGAACTGTTCCATTTTTGCCTTCAGTCCCTGTGGAAAGTTGTTACAATTTCAAACAAACATGTACCGGTAACTAATTTGAACGAGTTATTAATTTTCCCACCCCTATCATGTTTATACTGCTATCTGAATCCTTGCTGATAAATGTCTTTGAAATGTTTTTTGCCTTTCAGGGTCGAAGACAATGGCTACGGTCAAATAGACAAATTAACATGAACCATTATGCCAATAAGAAGAGTGCAGCCGAAAGCATGTTGGATATTGCTTTGCTCATGGCCAACGCATCCCAGCTGAAAGCTGTGATGGAGCAAGGACCCTCTTTCGGATTCTATGCTCCACTGATCATTCTCATCAGCATCTCACTCGCACTTCAGATTATAGTTGGTGTGCTCCTAATATTCCTTGGTATGTATGGCAACCTAAATCATTGCTTATTTTGTGCCACAGCACAACTGTTTATGGTACTGTTTCCATTTTAATAGCAAAATGTTTTTTAAAAAGTGTTTTATAGCCAACTCCTTTTTTTACACCCTAAGATTTTTTTAAAAAAAACTTTTTATTCAATTTTTTTTAGGTGTGAATATAACTGTGGAGGTTATTAATTTAGCATATGGGAAATCTATACATGCTAGACACAATGCAGTCCTGACAGCCTAGATTGCTAGTTCTACGAAGATTCTCAGTCATCCAGGTCATGGTTGTCCCAAAGATATTTTTTCAAGAGGCAACAGGACTTGTTTCTTCTTTGAAGACATTTTCCTTCTCATCCAAGAAGCTTCTTTAGGATGAGAAATGAAACATCTTCAAAGAAAAACAAGAAAGTCCAGTTTTCTCTTGAGATAGGTTGCTAGCTCATCTCATTTGGCGCTTGTGTGCCTATCCTTGGTGAACCACAAGGGGCAAACTAGTTTTACACCAATTAGTTAATGGCACTTGGCTTGCTAGCTCTTCCAGGCTCCTCCACCAGTCACACCTTGCCTTGTATCATGATGCTTTGTGTCTGGCCAGGGCCAGCTTCCACTCTCTGCACACATGAACGCAGTTAGGTTTTCCCTCCCACCACTCTGGAGGTGAAGTGTAGGGACATGGTCTCTCACCTCATCAGTGCATTTCACATTGTTCCATTCTTAATTCCCAAAGAGCTAAAAGGAAGAGTGTCATGCCTACCCCATGAGTTTGAATCCTTTACTGCCGGACAATCAGATGGCTATCAAGGGAAGATCTATACAGATGCATCAGGTTCACTTTTATAGATGGTCATCATGTAGGCATCCAGGGATGGAGGCAGAACCATTGACCAGACTTGCCTAGGAATTTGCTTTTGGGGACAGAAAATCTAGTTATTAATAAGAGCAAAGTTGGCAATGAATACTGCCTTGTCTTTTGAAAATAATATCATTTATATGACTGCCCCATCTCGCAGATGTGAATCTGGGAGGCCAACAACACATTAAAAATCATGCAAAGAGTAATATCAAACATTAAAAAAAACAACACCCTACAGTGGTTACCAAGAACAAACCCAACAAGTATGCTACAATATTATAAGATCTTGTCTCATAGGCCATCCAACCTGCTGTTCCCAATGTCTTGAAGCTAATCCAGGTCTTCAGCAATTTGCCAAAGGCTGGTAGGATCTTGATCACGCTAATCTCTAGGATATGGTAATCCTTTTCAAAAGAATAACACATTTGAAAGTTGTAGTGTACTGCTTATTTCTAGTATATAAGAGGAGGAATGAGTAGATTCTTACATAAAGAAGTATGTATAGTCATAATTATGTAATTCTGTGAAATCATTTTGTGTGAGTAATCGTCCAATAGTAGTACATAAGTACATAAAGGCCTTGTGTCAAAGATTTTTTAGCATCATAGACAATGAATTTCATAATCTTTAATTTTCAGGAAAATAATACAACATTTCTCATGGGAGAGAAAAGATCTCCCAATATTTTCTCAGATTTCTTGTAGGATTTCTCATCCCCATTTTCAGAGTTCAGTATGCATGAGTGATATTTTTACTTCATTTATACACTTTCCCATATGATGGAATTATTAATTAAAAATAATAACTAGTCCTTCCTGGTATAAGAGGGAGAGCCAGAAACAGTAACCATCATTTCAGAAACTTAAAAGGCTCATGACAGCTATAGGGACTACATCAAGAATATAAGTTTTTCCTTCCAAGTCAGTGTTAATAGTTTGAATAGCAATAACAATAGCACCTAGGCTTATATACCTCTCCCTAGTATTTTATAGCACTTTCTGAGCAGTTTACAATGTCAGCATATTGCCCCTAACAATTTGGATTTTACTGACCTCAGAAGAATGGAAGGCTGAGTCAACCTCAAGCCTGTCAGGATCGAACTCCAGACCATGGGCAGAGTTAGTTTGCAATACTGAATCCTAACCACTGTACCATCAAGACTTGAATGGAAGAGAATTATTCCTTGCCAGGCCAACCCAGATGAGATGCTGTTTTAGAGCTATTGCTAAGGAATATTCACAGCTTCTCTTGACCCATACCTCAACACAGCTCTTTCTATCCTCCAATATTAGAGATAATTAGTCTTGGGGCATTCTGTGCCAGGTGGGAAGAGAACCCCAGTACAGAACTCTCTATTCAAGGGTAAACATTTTTCTGTGTTTGGTTCTCTAGGTGGTCACTCTGAGACTGGAATTGTAATATAATCATCAGCTCTATGGGATTGCAGGCTAAAACATAACCTGTTTTTTTCAGGGATCATAGATTATCATTCATTTGCTCTGGGAAATTATACATTTGGTAGAAGATTATAGATATTTACTTTTGTGTCCAAGAAGTAATTTTTAGCTCAGGAATTGCATAGAAACCTAAGAATAACATTTTTAACACAATGTATAAACTGAATTATACTTGTCTTCTACCAGAAGATTTTAAGTACACTGTCATTTTCTACATGCATATATAGTTTTCTTTGTGGGTATATATTAAATAGTATTGTATTAGGAAATGAAACATAGTCATCCAGCGCTGGAAGCAGGCAGTAATAAAGATATAGTTTATATGCCAACAGTTTGTAGTGAAATAACTCAAGAGCATGTGCAAAATATCTTGCTGAATCGGTCTAAAGGCCTTTCAGATTCAGCAATCTTGTCCCATATGAGATCACCAGATACTAATGGGAAACCTCAAGAAGAGCATAAAGGTGATTGTCCTCTCCAAGTCATATTTTTCAGGATTGGTATAAACTATGTGTCTTATATTGAAGGAAATTTAGACATCAGTTACTAGAAGATTTATTTTTTTCATTAATTCCACATATATTTTCATAAAACATATATTTTCTCTTTCACTGACTTTTTTCGACCTTGCGTCCCAACAGGATCAAATTGCAGGCCGTGGGCAGAGTTAGCCTGCAATACTGTACTTATACTGCCATACTTGTGCCACCAGAGTAGATGGTGAAACTGCTGTTAAAATAAAATAAAAGATCAGGAACACTTCAAAAGTTGATGTTATATTGGCCAGTTGCCTAGTAAATAAAGGGATATATTTCTACTCTGTTATAGAAAATAGCCTTGTTATGCATTTATGATGAAAGAACATCAATATAATATTTCAGTTGTTTTAGGACTCTTTAGAAGGAATATTTGAAATCTCATGATTTGAATGGTTTCTGATTCTCAGTGTATCTAGTACCTCATCTCAGTTGTCCTTTCTTAACCCTTTAGGCATTGCCTTTTCAGCATAAATGAGTTTGTGTTATTCTGACTCTGAGTGACCTCAATGTATCTTTGAAAGAAAGATCTCTGGTCTTATTCTTTCAACTTCTTTTTTTGCTAACCTTCTCTTTATTTAAACATTTCATTTTCAGAATGAAATGTGACTGTTTTAAACTTTGCAGATAACTTCATAGATCAAATAGCACTGTGAATAGTTTCCAGTTGGTTGAACAATATTCATATTTTATCTAAAATCTTTTGCACCAATTCAGTTTGAATCTATAGTTGCCTTCCTATCGATCAGTTCTATTACCATTTACATTATGTGAGATGTAAAGTATTTTAAAAGATTACCATTCTGAAGATAATTAAGACTACCCCTCCTTTGCCTGCCTTATAGATTTCATTCTTTGCTATATAATTATCTTCATACTTTTTATCATTATATCCCACTATTTGGATGGTGGTAGTGGTGGTGGTTTTTTTTTTTTTTTTATTGGAAAAGTTTTAAAACAAACACAATTTCCCCACAACCCACCCCCCAACCCCTCCTCCCCCTCCCCAACTTCCCAGAGCAGAACACAAGGTATTTCTATTAACTTTTAACAATAAACTAAATTGCTTAACCAATCATTAAACTAACACCCCCTAAAAAAAAAAATTCTTAACCCCCATAGATAAAATCCTACTTCTTAGACATAAAACTTCTAATATCACTTATATAACGCTTATACAGTTAAAAGAAATCATTCATAAACTATTTGATATTTTTTGGTCTGATACTTATTTTGAATATAATCAATCCATCTTCTCCAGTCCTGTATATACCTTTCTTGTGTATGATCCTTCAAATATGCTGAAATTTTAGCCATTTCAGCTAAATTAGTTACTTTCAATATCCAGTCATCAATAGTAGGCAAAAAATCCTTCTTCCAGTGTTGTGCTATCAGCAATCTTGCTGCTAGGTGGTTGTTGTTGTTGTTGTTATGGTCTAATATTGTCACAGAAGGTGTCTCAGCAGTCATCTAGTCCAATTTCTTGCTTGGTGCATCATCTACAATAATTGTATGTGGAAATATTATCCTCTGGAGGTTTCTAGCTTGTTAGTTCCTGTGCCGCCTTTGATGTAGACAGCGTTAAATTCCCTCATTGTCACAAATCCACCTAGATATGAATACAGTCACCATGGGAATGTTCTCTGTGCCACATATCCACATTTACACATCAAGAAGAGAGTTTTTGGAGGACATGGCTGTTTTAATTCTTACAAGAAGTATTCTTTATTTATACTAATGTATTCTGTGAAACATGAATTTGGAACACTTTATAAATATCCGGAAGAGAAGGGGTTATGTAGGGATGAAACATTGTGCCCTAACAGGCTCTCAATGGTGACAGATTCCTGGTACAAAGGCAGGTTGAGCATGGGAGATTGATACAATTGACAGCAGTAGGAAGAAAATATGAATGATGTTTCTTGCATTGTTTGTTCTGCATTATCATGTTGAGATATACAGTGGTAGATTTTTCTTTTGCTTTTTTTTTCTTGGTTACTTTGTTTAGAAGACACTGGCTTGTCAATAGTCTTGTAAATTGTAGGGTAAAAAGGGGAGGAAGGAAGCTGTCAGAATGGTTTTTTTCTACCAGAATGGTTTTTTTCTGCCTCTTTTGTTCCTCCGTCCACAGTTTCTTCCTTTGATCGTGTTCCAAGTCCATGTTTTGGCAGTTGTATTATATGTTTTCCCCCCCTATTTTCTTCCGCCTTTTAGATTGTAAGGGCTGGGAACCATATATCTCTCTCAGCTTCCCTATTTTACAGACTGAGAGAAAACAGGAGGAGGACAGGAACTGATTTTCTTTGCTGTCTTCATGAGATCAAATGAACTTTAGCCCACTTGAAAATGTCACAGCTTCTTTCCCAGATTAATGTTTAAGGAAAGACACGGGGCAGCACAAACGAAAGATTTGCCATTTGAGTTGAGAATGTGTGGAAAGTTTCCTCTTGGATGCACTATAAATCAGGAGCCTTTGGGTGTGGGTGGGTGTGTCAGAAACATTTAGGATGGCAGCTGTGCCAGTGATATCAAAGACCTGCCCCCTTTTTATGTGCATTGTGACAGATGTAAAAATAAGGGATAGGATATTATCATTAATTTGATTTTTTTTTAAATCCCCCCTAGGTGCCCCTGCTATACATTTTATCTGCAGAAAACCTTATATTAATTGCAAGAGCTTTCTTTTTGAAATGAAAGGGGAAAAGGAATAGTTTAATCTCTACAAAATGAGAGGAATTGCTCTAATAAAAAGCTTAACATTTCCCCATATAGAAGATCAGTTTCAAGTTCAGCTTTATACAACCTATTTGTTATTCCCTCTGAAATCTTAGAACTCGAGTTTGTTCATACAAATACTTGCATTTTAAAAAATCCATGTTTCCATTGCTATGGTGAAATAGCTACATATCAGCTCTAAAACCGGATGAGTCTCTTGATTTGAAAGCCTCTTACTGCAACTGGTTGATATTCCTTTCCAAAGAACTCACCCTGGGAAAATACCTGAATGTGTTAATCTAAACTGCAGTGCTGGCTCCTGGAAAATGCATTGTGTAAGAGTGGTGATTCTCTTACGCTTACGCTTCTGAATTTCATGAAGTTCACTTCCACTTTTTAGTTCTTGTGGTTTCATACAGGAAGAAAGTGTCACAACTAGGATCCACAGGTCGAGGTATGAACAGAATTGGTCCTTTACCCCAAAGTGGCCCTATTTGCAATTGTTATTATATAAAATGCACTTTTGACCCTCAGGGATAGCTGGGAAGTCTGCTGCTTAATGGAACAAAGAAAGGAAATCCCCAGTTTGAGCTAGAACTAGATTAATTATGGGGATTCCCGTCTGCATTTCCTGTAAATGTTATTTTTTAAAATCAAATACACTTTAATAAGTAACCGAATTAAAATGTGGAATATTCATTGAATAGAGGCAGAAATTCTAAACATATTATTATAGCAATAATATTAACAACAAAGTGCGACCCATTATAACAGCATAGCAAACCGTCAAAAGAAGGAAAAAAATAACAACACTCTTCAGAAGGAGGGAAACTGAGACATTGTCCAATGGCTCTGAAAGTCTGCATAGTCCTGGGATTTGGGATTCATATCTGAAGTGGGAAAGTTGCTTGGGATGGATGGATGGGTGGGAACTCATCGGTCCTGTTGGCACCTTCTTAAGAAGCTTCACCATTTTCTGGGTTTGCTCCATGGCACCATAGTCCTGGGAAAATACAGTTGAGTAAAGGAGTTGATAATAGTATATTGCTTCCTTGAGTATCCACAAAGAAGTTCATTTCTGAAACCAGAAAATAAGGTTTGGTCCTTTAAAACAAATCAATTTATTTCAGAATTGTCATCAGTATATATGGCCAAAGAATTGAAGATGTTGGCCTTCAGGGTGTGATTGATTTTTCTTTAAGTGTATATTGCATACATCCTGGCATCTTTTCTTTATCCTTTTTTGAATAAGTCTGAGTAGGAAGGAGTGAAAAGAAAGTGTTGGATTAGAGAGCTGCCAAAGTTTTTCCACTCCTGGATAGGAAAATAATGAAGTATACATATATGCAATACTGTTTTTCAGTTGTAGAAAGATATTGTTCTGATTGATAAATGCAGTTCACTTAATGGCGTTTCTTATGACTACTGAATTCAGTGTTTGTTATATTTTATTTCAATCAGCAGGTTGATTGAAATATAATGATTACCATAGTATAACATATACCAAGTATAACTATTACTATGTGGAAATCCACCTTTTTTTTTTAGCTTAAAAAGGATCCTCATCCTCATATAATAATTTTTTGCACATCTTTTTAATTACACAGAAATCTCTTTGGCATGCAATTTTGAAATGTTACTTCCTCACGCTGACCTCTTCATTTCCAAAAGTTAATTTGTGAGAATATAATCTGTTTCACTGTTCTTTCCTTCTAGTTAAATATGACCTTAATAATCCTGCAAAACATGCCAAACTGAACTTTCTCAATAACCTTGCCACTGGACTGGTGTTTATTATAGTAGTTGTCAATATATTTATCACTGCTTTTGGAGTTCAGAAGCCGTCTCCCCCAGTACAGAAGGCATAGAAAGGTAAGCTCCAATTTAGAATAGAGTATCATAAAAGTCTGAAAAAAGTCTGTTTCTTCTTGTAGAGCAGGAGTGTCAAACTCAAAGCCGGCTGAATCCGTCCTGCGGATCTGGCCCATGGGGCCACTCTGGAAACAATGAAGGACCAGCCTGCGGTGCCTCTGCCAGCAAAAATGGAGCTTAGGAGGGCCACATGTGACCTCCCTGAGCTCAGTTTTTGCTGGCAGAGAGCTGCAGGTGGCCATCATGGCCGAAAACGGAGCCTCAACGAGTGATGTTGAGCTAGCCATGCCCCCTGGCCATGCCCCACCTGAGATCAAACACAACCCAAATGTGTCCCTCAATGAAATTGAGTTTGACACCCCTATTGTATAAAGAAACATTTTTATAAATCTACACCATTTCTATGTATTGCAGAGTACAAGGTGTTATAGATGGGTTCAGGAGTAATACTATTTTTTTATTTCATATCTGTGCCCTAGTCACAGTAGAGATTGCATTACTTTCCTTTGAAATGCCTCATGAAGATCAGAAAATTTTCCTTTTCATGTTCAATAAATTCTTTTTCCATTTTTAATTAATTATACTTAATTTAATTGAACATTGTAAAACCGTGGAACAACGACAGTTAGTCAGTATTTCAGAAAGTACATCTTTCTGTTTATGTCTAGCCAAATATTAAGATACACAGAAAAGACTTTTTGTCAAGATTATGGATATTAGATGTCATTTAAGAGAAGTAAAATATAGATTTGAGGTAATGGGTTTTGGGATTGAGGAATATATATGGAGTAATGATTGTTAAAATGATAAAGATTTAGAACAGTGTTTATTGTTTAGATTTTGGGTGTAATAGTAGAATGATAAATGTTTAGAATAAGATTTTTTTTAAAAAAGATGTAAATGGATAAATTTTGGAACAAAATTGATTGAGGGAATGTGAATAATTGTAATCATTTTATGCTGGACCAAACCCTTGCTCTAAAACGATGTATTTTATGTTTTATGTTTAAAAAAATAAAAAAAAATTGGGGGAAAAAAAAAGAAAAGACTTTTATGTTCCATGTGAACATAAAAAGAAAACAGGGCCTTCTTGCTTATGGCAGAGTGATTATAGAAGCTATCTCACCAGGACACTGAGTTGGTACTTAACATTGATCTTATTTCAGAAGATTTCCAGGGTTCCTTCCAATTCGGTTTTTCTGTCTCTGCTTTTTAATCTTGATTTTAAATGAGTTTTGATGGATAAGTAGGTAGGTTGATTAACAAATAAACTGGAATCAACTGAAATTGGCTAATTTCCCCAGACCACAACTAACGCAAACTATTGTTTGTTCAATGGTACAGATAACAACAAATCTCAGTTAGTTGAAAATGAATGCATGTATAAAAAGATAAGAAGGAAGTTTATGAATCCAAAACTTATTCATGCTACCTTTCTAGCATTATACTGAAAATACAGTCAGATTAAAGAATCAGTTGGGAGAAATAGTTTAGTCCACCAAGTGCCACATTGCTCGAGATAGAAAAGGTTTGGAATATGAAAAATAGTAAGCACCAAACTCTCTTATGGACACCGCCATTGTTTTTCATGACATTTTCCTCCCTTATGAATACTGATCACTTCAGTTCATTTTTGCTGAAAGATCCAAACTTAATTGCTTAAAGCCATGCATGCCTGTCAAACAGTGATTCTGGGAATTAAGTATGTACAAGGCAACTATGGGACAGCACTATCTCTTCTCTTGTTGTAGATTTATTTTATGTCACCTTCTCTATAGAAATTGGTCTGAATATTCTGTGATGAAATGGGGAAAAGGAATTAAAGGGGCTACTTTAAATGAAAATAAGCAAGCTGCATTCGATCCTTTTAACTGGTTTTTCATTTTTCCTTTTTTCCTGCCAGAGACCAACATTCTTTAAAATTCTGAAGAGAGTTTCTGTATTTTGTGCCAGTTTCGCTTGGATGAAGAAACTCAACAAGCATGTCTTTCTTTGAGTTGGATTATTTACCAGAAAGGCCATTATATATACATTCCTAATCTTATAAAAATGATGGGCTGCCATTTGGAGGAAAACTGAATTTTATTTGTAGCATAAGGAGTTGCAACCAAAGATGCTTGCACTGAACTTTCCAGATAAACCTATTAGTATTGCTTCAGGAAAAAAACGCAGTGTAAATCCCGGAGACTTTCTTATGACTATTGAAACTCAGTCCCCGTGCCTTCACAGAAATGCTGAACCAAGAATGAGAGCATCTATATATGAAAGCATGGAGTTTGCATAGGTAGGGAAAGACCCATGTACATTTCAGCATTAAACAATAATTTTGTCTACAAGACTTTCAAATCACAATGCATTATGTAGATATAAAATCCAAATTGTTCATTATTTATATAATTTCATATGAATAATTATATCTGATAGGGTGCTATGGATAAGAAGAAAGTGAATGCAATCAATGCAGAAAGTGATGGTAATGTTGGGACAAACAAACATTTGTTTTGCAAAGACCACTTCCCTTTAATTGGTCACTGATAGTCATTCCAAGTGTTCCAAAGAGGTGGGTGTCCAACCTTTTTTTCCCCAAGTAGAAATATATATTGTACAATTTTGTATTATTTCATTGATACTGTAGTCTGCTTAGAACAACTGTGATGTGTGAAGCCATGCCTTATGGCTTGTAAACCATGGTTTATGGCTGAGAACATTTTGCAAACCCAGCCAGTTATTTAATAAACTATGGTTAATTCAACTGTAGTCTAGCATGACGCATGACCTTACTGTGTGAACACATCACAACTTTGTATAAACGCATTATAATATAGATCAGGGGTGTCAGATTCAAGGACCGGATCCAGCCCAAGGGGTGCTTAGATTTGGCCCATGATGCCACCCTGGAAAGAGCAAAGGACTGGACTGTGGTGTTGTGCCAGTGAAAACAGAGCTCAGGAAGGCCGTCTGCAGCCCCCCCAAGCTCCGTTTTCGCTGGAAGAGGGTTGCAGGAGGCTATACAGTCAAAAATGGAGCTCGGGAGCCTGTTTTTACTGGCAGAGTGCTTGGGCCACCACAGGTGCCCCCGACACGAGTAACGTCGAGCTGGCCTTGCCCCTCCTGGCCCCCTGAGGTCAAACACAACCCTGATGCGGCTCTCAATGAAATCGACTTTGACACCCCGATATAGTTTTGTTTATTTCTTGCCTCTGGAATTGCTGTTTATTATAGCTTTTGATCAATTGTTTAAGAGAGTTTATCTTTATATAGTACTTAATCAGAACAATTTGCTTGCCTGACTAAAACAGAGCAAAACTCCAAGTTGCATCCAAAATGTAATTTCACACAATTGCTAGGGGTTGTTTGTGTGTGTGTGTGTGTGTACGTGTTTGAGTTCCATCTACTTTACCATAAACTAAGGGATGATGTAAGGGAACAATCAAACACATGTGTTGTTGTGTGTGACAGAATAGCAAATTTATTCTCATTTCTTTCCTTCTTCCATATGCTACACCATTTTGAGTATCTTAAGCATCTGCCAACTTTCCATGTTACTCACAAACAGAATACATACAGAGATAATAGAGTCTTTTCACCCTGAGACTTGTGAAGAATATAAAAAGTATCTCTCATTCCTTTTGTGGTCCAGTCGTTCTGAAAGAATCCCAAAATGGTGCTGCACCTTTTTTTTTTTACTCTTTTTGTGCATAATGTCAGTGAGAAATATCTCTCCGTGCTCATTTTGCCCAGTCACTCTTGATAGTGAGATGGTGGCATATAAATTTAATGAATAAATAAATTTCACAACAAGGACCATAATTTCTGCTTTAAAAAGGATTACTTCTCACTGCAAAATCTTGATAGGTCTATCTTTTTTATATTAAGGATGGCTTGTCAACACTTGAATAGAGAAATGCCAAGGTTTTCCCCATTTTTCCTGCTTCAGTGATCAAGACTCATTCTAGAATGCATCTTAGAGTGTATACCTCTTCATGGATCTTGCCAACACAATTCAAAAGCCACAGTGCATTTTTCTCTGGCCTGCACTGCTAACTTTAAAACTGTAAAGTAGAAATAGAAAGGCTCATCCTATGCACAAGATGAGAAGCAAATTTTGATTATATCAAATTTTTCTCATTATCATACTCTCATCCTCTCATTAGCTTTTTTAAAGTCAATCTACGTAGGAAACAATAATTTTTTAAAAAGTATCTTTAATGAAACCAAGTCAGTAAATTAAACTTTTACAGAATATAATATATTATATTTACTACAATTTTTCCTTTAAAAAATATAGTGAACATTTTTCCTAATTTATCATTTGTGAGCACAAACTGCACTCAATTTTTAGTGACATACAGATCTAATGTTATTAACATGTGTTCTATTTTTTTTTATTTTGATTCATTAAATATATACATTTTATATAATATATACTGTATATAACACATTATAGACACAGGAGAGAAGCCATTTCCTTTACCATTTCAGATGCTGCATTTTTCTACTAATAAGATTATAATCATAAGATTCTAAAGAGTAAGTTAATTTTTCTAGCAAGAAAATAGAGAACAAAAAGGAGAGAATTTTACTTGGATATCTGTTTTATTCTCAGTGAAAATAATAGGATTTTATTATTAATAAGAAAGATTTTCTTTTGTTCGGATATGAAAATTGATCAAATGTTTGCAGAATGTCGCTTTACAGCTACTGCCTTTATAAGTTGCATGAGTAGGGTTGCTTCTGCATTACAGTCAACTGCAATTTTGTACATTCTTACCAGGAGATGAATTACTGAATTAAGTAGGGCTTGCTTCAGCAAGAGCAGATTTTTTTGTAGATTATATTTTTTAATAAATTATATTAAAATGCAGTATAATCAAATAATGTTCTGCTGTTTTTCATAGTTAATGTGTGATAAAATCAGATTTTTACCTAAACAGTACCATTGGTTCAGGCACTACAAGTGAGGAGTGTTCTAAAATAGAATATCAATTCATGTCACAGATTTTTGCAAAACATTTTTACAGCATAATGATTTGTTTGCTTGATGTCAGTAATGAGGTAAACTAGGGACAGCTGTGAGGGTGGGGCTGGGGGTAAAAAAAAATGAAGAAAGAAAGGTATCCATGACTATGCAATCTAAGCCCTGTCATTGAAACTGATAAATCTAAATTAACTGGTCTCAATCTGGCATCTTGTGCATGGTTTGGATTACAGCACATCGTAAATATTAATAAAATATAAATATAAAAAAATGTACTACAGACACAACTTGTCATGATTCTGATTTTCCTATTCACAGCAGAAACCTGTATTTAGATTGTAACTGCATTACACTGTTTTCATTTTCTTTTTCTTTTCATTGCTGGTCAATAAAGAGTTTTGATAACAGTGCACAGTGTTTTTTATTTAGGCACCATTGAATATGATTCATTTGAAGCCTTTAAAACAAAACCTGGTTTGTATAATAAGGATAACATCAGCTGTGCATCTTAGCTATATTAGTTTTAGTGGTATACGTCTAGGCACAGGGATTTGAGTAGTTCTAACTGGCTTCCTCCCCGAGGAAATGCTCTGTAACACAGGAACACACTTCTCGGAAAGGCAACACAACAAATATGTAATCTACTGTCATTGAAATAACTTTATATGCTCTCTTAAATTGCTGCAGAGCCTTGGATAATCTAAACCAGTTGTTTCATCACTTGGATAGTCCATTTCAGCCAATGTTGAGGTGCAACAGACTTATGTTTCTATGCTGTATCTTTTAGATTTACTTTACATGTACCTCTTGATTTCACCATTCCCCAGCAATCCTTTGAGGGTTGTTGTGAAGCAAGACTAGGGGAAGATTATGACATGTTGCAACCATGAGCCAATTCATGATCATTTTGGATTCTATAATATGGTTCAGTCAGGCATGATCCCTCCCTTCCTCCCTCCCTCCTTCCCTTCCTTCCTTCCTTCCCGTACATATATTCTGCTTTTCTTGCAGGAGCTCAAGTTATGAGATAGATAATGGCAGTGGGGGGGAAGAGTCTGGCCCAAAGTTACCCAGTGATCTTTCATGGCTGAGGGTGAATTTGTATTTAGATTTCTTTCTGGTTTTCAACCAACATGCAGCACACTACCTATGTTGTATGAATTGACTTATTCAATAAACCCAAGCTTTAAAAGCCATGAAGTAACCCAATGTGGAAACATAACATAGTGCATGAGAAATAAAGAGGGCAGGAGTTGAATGAGCACCGAAGCTCTTCTAATTTTCTAGCTCTCTTAGAAATCATGATTTTAACTGGATCCTTTGTGGGTGCTTCCAATCAAGGTATTATCCCCTATCCAATCAGCAAATTTTGAGGGTCATCCTCCATTTGCTATTGGAGTTGTCCCATTATAGCACCTTCTATTCATTAAGACAGGCAGCATCAGAAACAGTCTGCCTGGAAGCACCATGCAGTCCTTTGTGCATTTAGACCAAGGCCCCATTCGCCCAGGTGGACTTTACTCCCAGATAATAAGATTGCAACTTAAAGGTCCCTAAGCCTCTAGGACAGTTAGCCGCTTATTTTCTTGTACATCCTTTGCTTTTTTTTTTTCTCCCAAGCATTTTGTTTACTCAGCTCTTTTCAATTTGGAATTGTGTTCACTCCCTTCTCTTACCCTCTTCCTATCTCACATGTTCAGTTTTTTCCCACTTGGAAGCAAAGTTTTCCATTCATTTCCTTTTCCTTGGCCATTTCATGCCAGTAACACGCCCAGTTTGAACAGCAGGAAGCAGTTGAATCAAGGAGCACTCTTCATACTCAAAATAAACATGGCCATTCTGTCTTTGTGCCTTGCAACAGGGTATATAACCTCTGTTCCATTTCCCACAAACAGATTTCACAGTTAAAAAATGATGACTTCTTAGAAGCGTACATCATTCTGCTCATTAGAAAGAAACACACACATGATTGTAACAGCTTTTCAGTTATGGACAAGTTGAAAATGTTCCACAGTTCAACTCCCCCTTCACTTCCAGAGAATATATCTGGTGTGGGCCTTTCAGGATTGGGACCAATGGAAACTTCAAGAACCAGGGAGTTTGGTAGATGTGTCTGCAAGAAGGGCGGGGTCAGTGGTGAAATCCTCTGAAGTCTGCGGTTCTGTGAGTCTGCTAACGAGTGTGTGCTTTGCACACACATGCATGCTTCACATGCATGCATGTCTGAGGCACTGCCGCACAGCAATAAAAAAGGAACATTTTGAAGTCTCTGAGTCTGCAAAGGTAAGTAGAACAGTGAGGGGGGAGGAATCCGCTGTGCCATGCGATTTAGATTATCTAGAAAGCAGGAAATCCAATGATTCTAGCTAATATAAATCACGTGTCACAGCTGATTGTCGCCCAGCTGATCATCAGAAATACTGGTTCACCCGAACCAGTAGCATTTTTTACTACTGGTTCAGGGGAACCAGTCCAAACTGGTAGCATTTCACCCCTGGCAGGGGTCAAGAAAGCCAGAATGATGGACACAAATAGATGACAGTTGAATCCCCATGCAAGGTTGTGGGTGCCATCTCTTCCTTTTCAACCCACCCTCCCTCCCCCAGACCTCCCTGGAATAGGGGAAGTTATATTTCAAGCGAACTTTAGATACAACAAGAGTTAAGAGGAAAAAAAACTAGGTGAGTTGTGAGTGTAATCAACCGGCAGAGACAATTGCATCCTGGGAAAATCGGTTGTCAAAGAGCAGATCCTGAATGAGAATTCTCCCATCTAAAGTGGCTTTTGCAAAGAGGACGGGCCCAGTGCATTCTACTTTTTCTGTTGTGCCCATTGGAGTGATTTTTTCCAAGAGTGACTAAAAGCCAAATAAAGGATAAAAACATCCCGCTTGGAATTTGGGAAATCAAGTTAGGAACCACTGGGGCTACATGCAATAGAGATTTGATTAGATTTCATGAATAGTGATCCATACTGTGGGATGTTGTTCTCTCTGTGTTGCAGAGTCTTGATGTGTCAAGGAAACTCATATGGGCAAAGGAATCCAATAGGCATCCTCCCCCAAGGCATTCAGGATTTCGTAGGACAAAGCCATTGCTCTGACTTTTGTTTGAAAATGATTTCGAATCCATTCAAACGCCAGGCTTTTTGTTCCCGGAGCAGCACATGAAAGGAGAGGCTGAATTTCATGCCATTGCTTTAAACCTCCTGCTATCGGGCCTTTACAACTAAATGTCAGATGACCAAATGTACTTAGGCAGCTGTATTTCCTAATACACATTAAGTTTTACTCCATGCTGACAGAAGTTTCAGTAGAGAACAAATCATGAATAATGAAATATCCTATGCTTTTATTAGGCACCTTGGGACCACGCTCATTATAATGCTTACTCAGCTCTTTATAAGTGGGTGAATTAAAATGAGAGCAGACTATTGCTTGGCAACTTCTATCTTTATTAGCCCTCAGTCTTAAGTACTGTTTTATAGTGTTAGTCTCTCACGAGCTGGTTTTAATTCCCTAATGCACATGACCTACTATAATTTACTGGAAGAAAAACCCATTGTATGGGTAAAGGTATTTAAATTATGCTATTAGCTTGGAGCTAAATGCACTCTAAAAATGACTAGGTCGAGAAATCTGATTTTTGGACAAAAGCGGTTTTTGCTTAGAAAAGAGCAGTAATTAAAATCATACCCTTGAACAACTCACTGACAAATGTTTGGTTTACTATGTCCATGCTCACATCTTAAGCAACATCTTGCATGGGTTGTGTTGGGAAAAGAAATACTCTGTGCTGTTGGAAACCAATTAAATGCTATTTGTTGTGGTCTCTGTGATTCATACATATGAGTTCTGGGATCAGGAAATGCTCTATTTTGAATCTTTGGAAACATCATTTAGAGCTAAAGATGGCTCTTGAGATTGAAAAGTCTGCAAGATGCTTCTATATATCTGCCATGCTTGCTAGTTGGGAGTTCCCTGTACTGTGTGAAAGATGTTATGATGCTGTCTTTAAAAGAAAGTTTGTTGGTGGAAATACACATTTCAACAAAGCCAGGTGGGTTCAGAGCCAAAGCCATGCCATCTTTGCTTTATTACAAGGGTGTCAAACTCATGGCATCACCGTGGCATCACATGACATATTGGGACTTTCAGCCCCTTTGCTAAACCAGGTGGGGGAGGGGCCAGCACGTGATGCATCTGGCCCGCGCGCCATGAGTTTGACACCCCTGCTTTATTAAGAGCCACAGTGGCACAGTGGTTAGAGTGCAGTACTGCAGGCTACTTCTGCTGACTGCTAGCTGCCTGCAATTTGGCAGTTCAAATCTCACCAGGCTCAAGGTCGACTCAGCCTTCCATCCTTCCAAGGTCAGTAAAATGAGGAGCCAGATTGTTGGGGGCAATATGCTGACTCTGTAAACCGCTTAGAGAGGGCTGTAAAGCATTGTAAAGCGGTATATAAGTCTAGGTGCGATTGCTATTGCACATTCAAAGAATTAATTTTGGCACAGATTCTTACAAAATTGGCTGCTACCATTGAGAAAGGACTTGAGGAGCTTCTGTTTGGTCAGTTAAGCTTGGCTGCCATATCAACATTTGCACTGATCCAGGTACAGAAGACCAGAGGGTGATGTTGGAGGAACAGTTTAAGCTGCTTGTCCCTGCTGTCCCTGTTTTGTTTGAAGCAAGAGAAATTTAGCAATATTACAAGAAAAAGAAGGAAAATGTTCATAAAGGGCAGCCTCCACATTTCCAAGGGAAAAAAAGGCATAAGTGAGAATTGAATCAGAATATACAGAACAAGAGAGTTGGAACGGGCCTGGGAGGTCTTCCCTAAACCATTCTGGACAAATGCCTAACATCCTTTCTTAAAAACCTGATTAGCCTGACTAAGTGGCTCAGTGGCTAAGACACTGAGCTTGTCGGTCAGAAAGATCGGCAGTTCAGCAGTTCGAATCCCTAGTACAGGTCTCCTGCGTGAGCAGGGGGTTGGACTAGATGACCTCCAAGGTCCCTTCCAACTCTGTTATTGTTACTGTTACCTCCAGTGAGGGAGCACCAACAACCTATGGAGATAAGCCATTCCACTGATAGTTCTGACTGTCAGGAAAGTTGTCCTTAGTTCTAGGTTGCATGTCTCCTTGATAAGCTTCCATCCATTACTTCTTGTCCTGCCCTCAGGTGCTTTGGAAAATAGGTTGACTCCCTTTTCTCTGTGACAGCCACTCAAATATTGGAAGACTGCTATCACCCCTAGTCCTTCTATTTGTTAGACTAGACATACTTATTTCCGCAACTGTTCATCATGCTTTAGCCTCCAGCGGCCCCGTAATCATCTTTGTTGCTCCTCTCTGCACTCTTTCTAGAGTCTCAATAACATTTTTTGTATCATCATCACCAAAAGTGGACAAGGTATTCCAAATATGGTTCTACTAGCAGTATAAAGCAGTACTAACATTTCACGTGACCTTGATAGTATCCCTCTGTTGATGCACCCTAGGACTACATTGGCTTTTTTGGCAGTTGCAGCAAACTGCTGGCTCATATTTAATTGAGGACTCCTAGATCCTTCTCACAATTACTGCTGTTGAGCCACATGCCACCTATTCTATACCTGTGCATTTAGTTTTTCTTGCCAAAGTGCAAAACCTTACTTTTTTTTAATCACCAAATTGCATTCAATCAAGGTTTTTCCAGCACCTAAGCTTCAGTGCCCCATGATGTTCTTTCTAAATCAAGTGACATAAATTTAGGGACATCTCGCAGTTGTTGAAGAGCAGTTTCTTTTCCTAAGGTTCAGATCAAGGACACTTAACAGAGTCATGCTTAGCCATAAATTTTTGTGAAGTCATTGTGTACAGTGATGTCAACATATACTTCCTGTTATTGTGCTTATCAGGGGGAAAAATGGGGAGAAATGAAGTCTAAAAAGCACTGGCTGTCTCCAGCAAAGAACCCACTGGATTATCTCGCTTGATACATATTTTCTAGAAAATAAGCCACCAACCATGTAGCAAACCACAGTGACATGTTCACATCCTCAAAAAGCCAGCATGTTCACACAGCATTCCTCCAAAGCCATCTATTAAAGGCCCATACTTTTCAAAGAAGGTAACTTCCCAGCAGACCTGATCTTGCTAGTTGGAGCTATCAGGCAACTGCCAATGGCGAAAGTTTCAGGAGGAAATCCTACTAAGGAGGCAGTTGCAGCTCATATGAGAATAGTGCTCCTTTCCACAATGGATGGCCTCTTATTTACCTTTGCAAGCATTAGAGCCCAGATAGCAACTGACATCTTGCTGTTGTGCTCACTTGACAGTATCAAAGTAAAAGGAAGGAAGAGGGCAGTGTGAGGACTTTGTATATCCATGGTAGGTAGGTAGGTAGTAGATAGATACAGTAGATAGATAGATGATAGATAGATAGATAGATAGATAGATAGATAGATAGATGGATGGATGGATGGATGGATGGATGGATGGATGGGTGGGTGGGTGGGTGGGTGGATGGATGGATGGATGGATGGATGGATGTAGGTATTGGTAGGTAGATGATAGATGTAGGTAGATAGAAGATAGACTGACTGACTGACTGACTGACTGACTGATAAATGAAAGGCAATAGATAGATGATAAATAGATATTATCAGAACGATATTGGAATGCCTCTGAAATTTTCTGACTCAATTTAGCTCTTATTCTTTGGACAATACTGAAAAATATTTCATGAAGGACTGATGTAACTCAATAGTCAAGGTGCTGGTAATTAAACATGTATGTAACAAACCAACCAACCATGTATGTCAGGCCTGTACAACACATGAGAACTGCCAAGCAATCTTGTGCAGCCCATTGGCCTCACCTCAGCAAATCCATTTCCACTGCCTGGTAAGTTTTGCCGCCACTATCATCCCAAAAGACATACTGTGATGGCCTTCAGGCCCCACCAACACCACCAGAACCTCATTACTCTGCTGCTTGCCAAACAACTGATTGATAATCTTTGTGGCCAGTATCATTTAAAATTTATCAATGTTCCCCCTTTCTCCACTGTTAGTTGTGCTGACCTGCTCTATAAGCACTATTCTTGAGATACACTGTCAAAAATTATCTAAAGGACAAGTGTTCATTGTAGGATTGCATTTGGGTTGCCTTTCCATTTAAAAATGTTTATTTTCAGATCCTTGTGGGAGTTCTAGTATAGGTGGCCTCCCAATAGATCTTCTGTTATTTCAGTTCTCCAATAAAACACAAAACATGAGCTAATGGTTTTTCTGTTAAAGAACTGTCACGAGATTATGTTTAATTTGGTTTTAAAATTTTAATTTTATACACACATAATTTTTTTTCATAACATACAACCAGGTACATTAAACACTCATTATAAATAAGAATACAAGTACTTTATGCACATGTTACATACGGTCTGAGAAAAACTTTCCCCTGAACCTGCATTCATGCTGGACATTTATTGAGAAGAACCTTGTACGTACATTTATTTTTACAGGCACATTTATTTTTAATTTTTTTTACTTCATTTCTCTCTTTTCCCCTTCCATTTATAGATTAAAAGTAAAATAACATAAGATAGTAATATAACAAAAATAAAGTTCGCAAATCTAATGCTTATTGACGCACACAGAGACCGATACTGATACTTAATATGGCTTGTTATAAAATCCTGGGAATCTGGGCATAAAAAAAAGTAAAAGGCTGCCTTTAATGCAACATATTCCTATTAGCTATTTTAAAAATCAATCTCTCCTGCGAACTCCCTCATTATACACTTCAAAATTTTACCTGATTCACTGAGATGGAGACTCTGAAGGGGAAAAAGTTATTTTGCAAATTTCAAAGACTACTACAATATTGATTGGCTGGCTCCTGTGGAATCATGTTTTTTTCTTAGATTGATACAAAAGACTGATGTGATGTGTGTGACACTGGAATCACGTTTCTTTTCTTCTTTTTTCAGTTTGCAAGGTCACTCACCTGCTATGGTGAGTGACCTTGCACCGAAGTGACCGAAACAGTAACATCAGTTTTCCCTTTCAAATCCTGACCACCACAGAGCCCTAATAGATATCTATTCTTTTAATGCATCCGCGTAGAGCAATTGGAAAACTGTTTTGATGTTAGAATTGTCATCTCCTTTAGCGTATCTCTCACTAACATTTAAAAAAAATCTATAGCAGCTGTTTCCAACATTTTTTTTAAAAATGCAAATGACTATATTGTCCTCAAAGTCTTTGAAAGCTACATTGGGTCATCAGGTCAGTCCCTGAGGGCAGCAGCTTTTTTTCTCTCCCTGGAGACTGTATCCGTAAAACCACTTTTAAAAGGTAATTTTTAAAAAATGATAAAAAACTTCTAAGGTTGCCACATGAATATCACCTGGAATCTGGTTTAAAAAATGGAACTGATGGGTTTCAAGATACCATGTATAGTACATTGTATTTATGTGGATTGAATGGAACCAAAAACTTTTTTTAGAATTGGTCAAAAAGTATTTTAGGCCATCATTGGATTATTTGAATATTTAAACTAAATATATAGCAATTTCCACATATATTGTACAGCTGTCTTATTTACTTTTACATGCAATGTTTAGGCAGCATAGAGAATTATGGCTGGCATCACCCAGCAGATAAAGCTACTACCACATGTCATTTTGTTTTTGTTTTTTAATATTCAATATTCTTTAATATGGTTTGCAAGCATCATGATCTCAAGCCACCTGAAAGGTATTATTTTTGTTTTTGAAAACAGATGGATCACTTCTATGCCTCAGCCAAATTAGAGATAATAATGCATAGCACTGAAATTGTGCATTCAAATAAACTTTATTCAATAAACAAATAGAAATGGCCAGTATATTAGGGCTATGCCCATGATGGCAAACCTATGGCACGCGTGCCAGAGGTGGCACACAGAGCCCTCTCTGTGGGCACGCACGCTGTCGCCAACTACTCTTCTGGTTTCCGGTGTGTGCATGTGTGCCGGCCAGCTCATCTTTGTGTGTGCCGGTGCCCCGGAAACCCAAAAACCACTTGGTCTTTGGCTTTCCGGCACTCCGGCATGTATGAAGACCAGCTGGCCAGCATGCATGCATGCACCAGAAACCAGAAGGCCAGGTGCACATGTGCACGCCGGCCAGCTGATCTTTGAGTTTCAGGGGCTCCGGCGTGCACGCACATTCCAGTTTGGGCACTCGGTGCCGAAAAGGTTCGTCATCATTGGGCTATGCAATGCTCCAGACTGACTTGGAAGAAAAATATTGGAAAGGACAGCAATACAAACACAGTTCTTACCTGTGATTCATTAAAGCACACACAGCTGCATTCACAAATTACTGCATTCACATTCCTCCACATTCTGAAGCAGTTCTTTGAAATCAGAACCAAAGTATTGCTCAGTTGATACAACAGTGTTTTCTTCTATTGTACAGAATGCTTTTGATCTTTTTACCCTTTTTGGGCAAATAAACACACTTTAAATAAAACAATCTCATGTTTTGGTTTCAGCACCAACCACAATGTTTTACTTTTTAAAATCTTTATAATACACTTTAAAGATGCCAGTTTTTAATTTTAATTTTTAATTTAACAGCTTCCAACCAGATGCCAGCTTCCTGTTTATTATTTAAACAATTGAAAAATAATAATGATGTGAAATAGGCGGCTCTAAGGATATTGTCAGTGGGGAGAGTGATGGCTATAGACATGTGAATTATTCCTGGAAAATAGGGTACTCCCAATCTTATTGTTAAATAATAAAATAGATATTTTATCTAATCACGCAAAGAAAAAATTCTGGACCTCTTTGGTCTAACGTTATTACCTAATAATTAACATTATTACCTCCTAAGAATTTCTCTAAGGGTAATGGAAAATGTCTGGGCATCTTTATGAAGTTTTAGTCTTTCATTTCACATTGGTCCATCAACACTATAACATTCATTACCCAGTTAAGCAACATCATCAGTGCTAGTGAATGTGGCATTTGATTCCTTTGGGGAATTTTAATCAAAATTTTTGGAAGCCAGAATAGGAGTTTAATAATGCCAGTTCAGGTTAGAATACAACTTGAGTCTTCCATCATCAAATGTAATATTAGGAATATCTCTGTGGTGCAGATGCTATCAGGATCTGATTAAGACAACATCCACAGAAAAGGATATCAATAGAAATAACACATTAAGCAAACTTTAATGTCATTTGTATGCAGATTGTATATAACTGAACACCAGAATATTCTAGATCCTTTCTTACCAATAGAGGAGAATATTTGTAGCTCAGGGTTGAGATGAATATTCTCTGAGCTTGATTGTTTTCTTGGAAGACATTTCATAATGCTAGACTCTGTTGATGTTGCCTAGTTTGAGTAATGAAGTGTCTGCAAGCAAGCAAACAACTCAGAGAACACCCTCATGGGAATTTTTTTCTCTTTACCCTTTAGAGAACTGGACTATAACTTTTTTTAATTTTGGCTAAAGAGAGGGGGAAAGGCATGTTTTCTTTTCAAAAGCTACTTGAATGATGGTACGTACACGTTAAGATTTCTTTTTATAGAGTTTGTCATATAACCAGTGACAAACCACTCACTGACTCGAAGTCTCTTATTATCTTTTTGCATAAAAATGAAAAAAAAAACTTGGTGTTAATGATAGAAAAGATTATAGAAAAATAACACAATGTAACTTTAGAGAAGTTAAAATACATTTGTGCTCATAACTGCTATGAAGAATATTGGAAGCAATTTCCTTATGTATTTTCTTTCTTTCTTTCTTCATTTTTTTTCTTTTCTTACATCTTTTTTCTTTTCTTTGATTTCTCTTTTGTCCCTTTTTTTCTATTAGTTTGCGTTAGATGTTACCTTCTGGTTTAAAAGTTTTTAATAAAAATTACATATAAAAATACTTTTAAATTCGACTGGAGGAATAAACTTCAAAGCTGAATTTCACTTTGAGCTTTGATGCTACAAAGGGTTCCATAGATTTTCAGGTGTATAATTCATGCCTTATACTACAATCAGCTTTGAAACTAAAACAAGCTGTATTTCTTTTCTAAATCAACCTTTAATCACCAGAAATAAAGCATTCTGAAATTGATGAATCCCTTTAAAATTGATTAGGTCTGACTGAGCAGGGCCACAGCATTCTTTCTCCTGTTATGCAGGAGTAGCTGACACTTCAGTTTTTAAGAATCCTGCACATGAATGCAAAGTTAGTCAAGCGTCTCCTGCAGTGCTCTCCCCCCATCCTGTGGTGACTCAAGGAAATACATGATGAGGTTTCTGCCAGGTATAAATCTTTTAGTTAGGAAAGTAGGAAGAAAATTCTTTTTTAAGGGCTAAACAATTCACCCAAAATGTCCCTAAAAAGAGGCAGATGGATCTTCAATCACCACTAAAGCACCCCCTACTCTCTGCTTGCATCACTTTATTTTCTCTTCAGAAAGTGCCTCTAAATCAGGGCTGTCAAATTTCCGGGCCGTGGGCCGGATGCATTGTGCACTGGCCACACCCACACTGGGTTTAGTGAAGGGAGGAAAAGTCCCGATATGTCATGTGATGACATGAGTTTGACACCCCTGCTCTAAATTTATGAAAAGCCAAATTCCATGGTTAAACCAGAGTTTCTATTGTTTTGGCAGGGAAGCACAGTCCGTTTCAAGTCCAAGAAAGAGTAGCATCAGTCCTTCGCTCTTTGTGTCAGCCTCATGGCTATGGCTGTCCAATGAATGTATGCATTCACTGGCATTTTTAATTAAACTGTAATTCACAACATTATTCTGAATCTGCTCAGCTAGATGGTTGATCTCAGCTGGATAGTTCTTTAATGTCAGATTAGCAAGACATTCCAGGATTGCGACTAGACTGAGAAATTTACAAATTTTCTTGGAATAAAACATCAGCAAAAAATATCTTGTGTTGTTGCCAAGAAAAAAAGAAGTGTCCGTAAAGTTGAATTCAGCTCAAGGACTTTACCTATATTGTCTTAAAACAAGTCAACTTTAAGCTGTGACCACAACAATAACATGTGGACAACTGAAAATATGAAACTAAAAGATTCTGAGTCACTCCACATGGCCATGGCATAAAAGGAGAGGTGAATGGAACCTCAACATATGGATATATAGTAAGTGATAGTTCAACGTTTCATCTGAACCAGGCCTCTGCTCGAACCCAAACAATGAAAAGTCTTCTGGTCATATAATGACTAAGGCTGTGTTTAGATGTGAAGCTTTTGCATACTGTTGCTTTTCAATGTTGCTGCTTTGCTTGAAAAACTGCAACGCAGTTCCTGCTCAATTCATTTCCAAAGAATCGTTACTGGAATTATACTCCCAATTGCTATCTGCTACTCCTGTTCATTTCAACCCTCTTTTTCACCATTCTTCTTCACTTTTCCAAAGAAAGTAGCAATTATGATCAGGCACATAAGTGTTTTATACAATTGTGTAGCACCTTTTCCTTCTTTAAAAAAGTGGATTTGGGGCGTTTTAAAATAAAGTAAGTCAGCACCTTCCATTCAATGCCCCAAAGAGTTGTAATGCTTTAAACAACATGATTTCAAAGACAACCAAGGAAGATTAACTGAAACAATGATTTGGAAAAATCCCTTATAAAGTTGAAGGATGGCCACTTCTACATACACCTAAGAAAAGATTCCACTTATTCAGAGTATCAAAGGTGAAAATTAGGGAAAGGCAGGATTGTGGCATTAATTTTAAGGCTATAATGTATTGACATTCCAAATTCCAATAAAAGGGGGGGAAATGATGCACGTACAAATCCAGTGTGCATTCTCACAGCTGAGGAATTCATGGAAATAAGGAGAGGAAGAGCAAAGATCAATATCACTAGTGTTGCACTCTATGCTTTTAAAGACATCTGTAGTCTCCTATATTATACCACACCTTTGAAGCTTTGTGTGCTTAGTTCTTTCCAGCTACAGAGATTACCCTTGTTAAGAGAGGTGAAAAAAGACAAGGCAGAAGGGCTAAAGGATGATGACACAGTCTAGATGCTCCATGAAATTGCAATGCAGAATGTGCACATAAAATGAGCTTCTGAGAAATGAAATTTTTCATGGAACAGAACCCTTCAGATGTGTGAGGCAGTTTATGGTCCTCAAAAGCGCATGACATTATAAAGGCTAAATTCTTGGCCAGAAACTTAACTTTCTGTCTGGAACATAACATGAAATCTTATAGAGTTGAACTAAGAAGCAAATGCTAACAAATGCTTATTTTTGCCTATTATTCGTATCAGTGAACTCCTGGAGTCTATTAAAAACATAGATTGCAGTGTTAACATTTAAAAATAAAACTATACACTCCATCTTTCATTAAGGCTTTCGGTTCATTTGCACCTATAGCATCTGCTTATAATTGCTTATACATTATTTCAAACATTATTTTTTTGTCTTTATCTTTATTTATTCTTTATAAATACCTTTGCTATTTATAAAGAGAATTCCCAACAATCGATAATGGATTAGCTGATATACAAAACTTGATGGGTTCTATCATCAGCACTCAAGGTTGTCACTCATATTACGTGGAAAACTTCCATTTGTTCTCAGTGAAGCAGAGCACTCAGTACAGCTTTCACGTAGAGTTCATTATCTTCTTAATAATGAGACACACCAAGGCTCCATCATTCAGTACTAGCCTAAGCAGGAACATTCAGTTCATCTTGAAACAGAAAATGGCAGAATGCAATACATATATATATATATACACATACATACATGACTTGACACTCAAGACTTTGCATTAGGGCATGTTAAAATGCTTATTTGCATTAAAATATATTTTATCAAGGTGATAAATAATTTTTAAAAATAAGCTTGTACAAAAATAAAAAAAATCTGCTCCACAAGTAAAAGGCAAATACAAGTGATCTTCTGAAAGCCCTTTGAAGCAGCAAAGACTGCTAAAGCAACTGAGTTATATCTTTGGTATAAGAAAAGGTAATTGCTTGCAAAGCATCCGTGCTATTGGCAGGAAAATCTGGTGCTGCCCCATTTATTCTTACTCTCTTCATGATGAATCTTCCATGTATAACATACAGATGTTGCTAACATGTCTTCCTATGATAATTGGGGAAAATCCCAGCACCTTCTTGGCTTTTCCCAGAATTCTGGAGTCTAAAATGAAATGATAATATGGAATGAGATGGAAAGGTGGGGGGGAAGTGAATCAGGTCTGTAAGCATACTGGATTTTTCCTTCAACCAACATTTCACAAAAATAACTTGCTAAAGTTTTACTCAGGGAGAACCAATTATAAATATTATGAAAATTGGCTTCTACGGAAGGTTATTTAAGCCAGTTCTGAGTGATGAAGTATTTCATCTTAAACAGACAAATCTGTAAATCAAATTATGACTTTAACAACTCTGTCTAAAGATATGCAAGACACTCTCATGTGTTCTATACTTATCCCAATAAACTTATCTTTCCAGTTTTGGACAGAAAAACATTTCGATTTACCCAAATTGAGAAGAAAGGTAATTCCCAAGAGTGCTAATATCTACAATAATATACTAAATTAACAACTGAATTATCAAATTTTAAACTCTGAATTTTGATGACAAGGGAATGTCAATATAAAATATGGGAAAGTAAATGAGAGAGAGAGAGAGAGAAATCAACCTATGACAAAAGCAGATAGAGTTTAAGAAAATGGATTTTACTGGGACTAGTTTTGTGCTTTAATTGCATGCATTCCCCTCCTTGCTCAGCCCACATCCACCAAGGTTAAAGCTCTGATAGAAAGCTAAAGAAGCTAAATAGAGCCCCCTTTTAAACTGGCTCAAGTCTTGGGAAAAATATCAAACTTTTATTACCTGGATTGCAGCAATACATGAAGAATGCTAACCCTGCAGCAATACTGAAGCAGGCAAGAAAGAACGTAGGACCTAGAAAAGGAAAGAAATAAAAGCAGCAGCTTCTTTGTTTTTTCCTTCATATTTCATAATATATCACCCTTTCCCCTAATGCAATTAGAATCATGGATGCCTTTATTCCTTGTGACTCTTTTTTTTTAAAATTTACCACCAGCCTTTTTAAAAGTTTGCAAAAAGAAAATTTCTTCAGGGATTTAAATTCTATAGTAATAAAATAAGTTTGCCTTTTTTGCCAAATTAAATAATACTGTGTAGTATTGTAAAATAATATTGTACTATCTAATAGAGGCTTTGTGATTATAGATGGCTTTTCTGCAATGGCTGTACTTATGAATCCTCATTTTTCCTATTGGCTATCCATGTTCACCTTCCCAGGCACTGCAGAGCTGAATAAAATATGGAAGGATGTGATAGGACTAATGATGAATATCTCCTCCCACAATATCCCTGCCAACTAGACGCTTTTCCCATCTACACATGTTAAGTGTAAAAGCCTGCCAAGGGTTATCCAACTAAATACAATTGGTAAATTGGTGTAAATATACAAAAAAGATTTATTTATTCAGCGCTTCAGAAATTTAGAAGCTTGCATTACCAGAGCTGCTCTGGGCACAGGTTCAGTTAAACTTGCTTACAGGAATGAAAGCAAATATACGTGGCCCAGAGTAATGTTGCAGGATCTAATCCGGGTCGGTCACCAGGACCAGAGGTTTAGTCTTCCTAGCTTTCGGACTCATGCTGAAGCCCATCCTTAGGGAACGTTCTGGTCCCAGTGCCTGACCCAGATTGGATCCTTGCTTACAGGACCCTAAAGCCAAAGGTTATTTCTTTCCCTCACCCAAGCTGTGCCCACCTAGTGAAGGCTACAAATGTCGAGTCCTTCTCGGACTAGAGCAGTTCACATCTTACTTAACTACAAATGGCCCGGGCCTCAACCATTTGGGAGATAAGTATGATCTAAGTTTTTGATCACCCAAAAACATGGAGCTGTTAGGATGAGGTCAGTGGGTAGACCCCTAATAGTACAATGTTGAGCGTCTTTTTAAAAAGACAAAGAGAGAGAAGAGAAAGAGTGGGGAGGGAGGGAGGGAGAGACGGGAAGGAAAGAGGGAGGAGAGAAGAGAGGGAGGGAGGGAGGGAGGGAGAGACACTGAGACTGATTTTGACTGAGGAAAGAAAAGGAGCCGGGTGTGTAGTTTTACATTATAATAGGCTCCTTAACAATGTGCTGGGTTTAGTACAGCATTAATAACCTCTACCTGCCGAGTTGCTTCCCTGCCTTCTGGCTTCAAAGGAAGAACGGAAGAAAAGAGAAAAGGAGTCAGGGGCCAGAGGACAGCTAAAGGGAGCGTTCCTTTTAAAAATTATATACAGAGATATCATCAGAGGAAGTAAGGCACATATTTGAACACTCAGGAGCCTGCCAGGAAATCCAGCCAGCAGGTAAATTTAAGTTTAAATCAAAGTGTCATTGTTTAAAATATTGAGTAGAGCCCCATAGTCCCTTACCTATAAAACCCTATACAATCTTCAAAAATGAGAGCAAAAATTATGTGGCAAAAATACATGTTGAAGCCAAACCTCACTGCTTATTATAGTGGAGATCATAGGCACAATTCCTTGGGATGCTCTACTGGGAAAAGCATACTGAAATTCTTTGCCAAATACCTTAAGTGAGGGAGGCACAGCTGAACTGCATTCTTATGTGATCCCTTCCCAATCCTTAGAAGATGCAGAATTTTAAGACAGCAAATACATTAAGCTGATTGGTAGATACAACCCAGTTCTAATTACAACTAAACCCCCTTTCGGATTTTACATATATAATCTTAATCTTTTCACACTGATGCATATGCTTGCAGCATGAATTTTTTTTAAGATTAATGTCATCAAAATCAATCACATTAACGTAGTACTTTTGTTAACCTTATTATTCATATGCAGCCAACAGTATTTTACACGTTATTTACCCCTGTCATTTAGAATATATTTCTCCTTCTCAGGGTTTATCCCTGTGGAATCTGAGGTTTCTAGAAACAAAAGCAACACACTGAGTTAGTGCTATACACAGTCCAACAAATTTTGGAAACAAATCATAAAAAAATGAAATTAATTTTCAAAGTAATATAATCAAAACAATATGGCCTCTAACCCTCATTATCTTCTATATTTAGCCTATTTCGTACTTCTGTTTTGCTGATTTGCTGCTGCATATAAAGAGAAGGTTCTGTCATAAAAGTTTTCTGGTATAAATGACTTTAGGTGTTTCAATGCTCAATTGGTGCTGAAGGCATGTTTTTCCCCCCAAACATCCTTCTTCTTCCTCCTTCACCTGGCTTGAAAAGCCTTGTTCCTACATATAGTTTTTTTAAAGTTATTTCACAGCAAGACAAACTTAAACTATAAATCTATTTTCCTTCCCACTCCAAAGGGTTTAATTGTGGAAGGTATTTTCAATGATAGATATTGCTTCCTGTAGTCACTTATTTCTCTGATATTTATATCTATTTTTTTAAAATCCCCAACTGTACCAGCAGAAATAAGCTAAACTATCAACAACCATCGATAACTTGAAGGAAACAGCCTCCCTCAACCTGTTTTCCAGATGTGTTGTGATTTACTTCTCCCTCCCCGAAACTAATTACAGGAAGTCCTTGACTTACAACCGACCATTCGTTTAATGACATTTTGAAGTTACAATGGACTTGAAAAATTTACTTACAATCCATCCTTGAAGTTATGACTGCTGTACTTGGTTGGAATAGTCAAGATAGCAGTTTGTGACATTTTTAGCAAAAACCAGAAAAAAAATACCCTTTGGATAAAATGGGCTCAATTTTATGACTCTGTGGTTCTTTTAACAACCATATGGTTTACTTAATGATCATAGTGACTTGCTTAGCAACCACCATAAAAACGGTTCTAAAATTGAGTCCAGTCACATGGTGCCTTGACTTATAATCGCCACAACTTCAGACCAAAAGTCCAGTCCCAATTGTGTTTAAGTCAAGGATTACTTGTAAGACCTCTAGGTGTTGGTAATTTTGAGTCACCATTGAACTATTGTGTTTAATCACTATTAGCTGTAGCTAGAACAATTTTAATTCTTCTTTCCAAAATATTCCACACAGTATGTCTGCCGTAGGTATTTGCACTCTGGAACACATGCATCAAACTTTGAAGCAGTATAATAAGAAAAGCCATCTTGAGAATTTGGACTAAATCTGGATATTCCCCAATATCTAATTTTAACTACCATATTGTACAATTTCTCATAATATTGGTTTGCAAATAGCTGGAACCTCCATTGGTGCAATTCCTAGACGTTTGTTTAAACGCCAGCTGTTTTCTATCTGAAAGTGCTTTTCCTCCCTCACAGACCAAGCTCAGTGCTGTTTCTACCAGAGGGTATTCAAAATCATTGTTTGAACACTAAGAATGGGTCTCAAACACCAGCAGTTACAGTAGAGAAAAGCTCCAGTTGACAGAAGTGGTAGAAAGACTATGCTTCCAGTCTCTTTTCTCATGCACATTGCAAACCCACGGGACTTGTACAATTGACAGCAAGGCCTCAGGGTATCATTATACACAGCTGCAATGTAACATGTAATTTGCACTGGAAATCCATGCAAACGCCTAGCTCTTTATTGTAAAAAAAGAAAAAAAAAGGGAGAAGCTCAAGTCTAAAATCGTAAGACAAAAATAAATGTGGTTGACTGATCCCCTTACTTTGTTCATCCCCTTACATGTTGAACTAAAGCTACCAAAGGAACTGATTAACTTTTGCGCTTTCACAAAGGCTAAAGAGCAGACACTTTTCTTGTCTTCTTAACAATGAAATAAGTCTGGAAAGCTTTTGAAAATATACACCCTTATTTTTGGCTCTTTCAGGAACAGAGAAATTGTGAAATGGTTACTAGGGAAGCAATATGCCCCATTGGTTATAGCCTTTCCATTGCAAAGTAGAATAATGATGTATTGGTTGAAAGATTCAAATCACTTGATACCAGACAATCTACATTTCTAATAAAGGCCTTTAAAATGAAGCATGTTCCTAATTCCTATCATTGCTGTGACACAAATAATGGCAATTGAGTTATTTTATTATTATCACAATATAAGCTAATAGTGATTTTTGCAAACAATACTATTGTATTGTATTGCCTTCCTAGGAGTAAAATGTATAGAGTTAAATGGGACAAATTACAATTTACTGTTCAGCTTATACTTAGTTCCACAGCTGTATTTGTAATCTTGTTGCCTACAAAACTCAGTTGAACTCTTGTCTTGCTTCTCTCAGAGTAGTTGGTGGTCTCAATTCCATGGGAAAATACAAGATACAAGTAGGATTACTAAACCTGTTCATCAAAACATTCAATCATATTGCAAACAGATCAGAGGTGCTCTTTACTAGTCTACTGCACAAGCCTCATGTGCTTGCTGCAAAAAGAACTATTTAAGGGAATATAAATCAATCAATGATTTCTTTTGTTCTATCACTTCTATGGCAGTTCAGAGAAATCAGATATCACAGTTCTTGACATTATTTTAGCTAGGAGAGCAATACTAATAACCAAGACTAGACAACTAATACACAAATTATAAAGAAAAATCAATGGTGTCTAGGGGAGGCAAGGATGAAACATGCATTTGCCTTGCAAACTCTAAAGACATTTATGTTCTTGCATGCCATGTAATCATACAAGTGCAAAAAAACAGTCATGTCATGTCATAATGCAAGCTTCATTACTTTGGTATTATTATGGATAGGAGCAGACAACCACAACGATCTGGTTCTCATTGAAGCTTTTCTTGTCCATTGTACAAATACTTTATTATGAACCAAGAAACCTGACAAATGATGTACAGTGCTGAAAAATAATCCTGGCTCAAAGCTTAAATCAGCACATTAACCACAGTCAAACTATGCAATATTATTCTGATTCCACGTTGTTAGAAGGAAATCATAGAAATAATATTTGAAAGGAACATAATTTGATAATGGGAGAAATTTTCCTTCTCTTGCAATTCATAAAAAGTCATCAGGAACTTCAATTCTTGACACTGTTTTAGATAAGTTGGTATGTCAGAAACAATGCAGTGCAAGTTTATTACAGCAACTACAAAAGAGAAGCTTGCATACCAAATCAATTGAACTGACATCATCATATGTTAATGCAAATATGCTTTCTTGACTGAACACCTGCAAATTGTTAAGGGGAGTACAGTACATCTATTATTTCACTCCTGTAAATTTGCCAACAACCCAAAGGACAGATGATATAGTGTTGGATATTGTGTTCTTGGTAATCTCTGAGCTTGTTTGCTTTCCTGCAAATGTTTCATTACCAGACTGGGCAACATTGCTCATGCATGGAGAATGGGATTTGCTGTCAATTGTCTGATTATATACAGGTAGTCCTCAACTTATGGCCATAAATGAGCCCAAAATTTATGTTGCTAAGTGAGAAATTTGTTAAGTGAATTTTGCCCAATTTACAACTTTTCCTGACACATTTGTTGAGCAAATCACTGCAGTTAAGTTGGTAACACCATTGTTAAGTGAATGTGGCTTTCCCATTGACTTTGCTTGTCAAAAGGTCACAAGAAGTGATTACATGACTCCGGGACATTGCAACCATCATAAATATGAACCAGTTGTCAAGGATCTGAATGTAAATCACATGACTATGGGGATGCTGCAACAGTCATAGTGTGAAAAATGGTTATAAGTAATTCTTTCCAGTGCCACTGTAACTTTGAACAGTCACTAAAGGAACTGTTAAGTCGAGGAATACCTGTAGAATACATTGGTCTGCTAGTCTTGGTTGGGATATGGATTCTTTGTTTATGGTTCAGAAATTCTTTAGCAGTTCTGGATTTGGATTGGTCTAGGACAGTGATGGCTAACCTTTTTGCCATTGCGCCCCAAAACCAGGGGGACTGTGGGGGGGGGTGTCACATGCGTGTGTGCCCACACCCATAATTCTATGCGCCTTGCCCCCACGCATGCGTGCGCAACCCCCCCATGCTCCCCCTGCTTTTGCATGCAATGGCACGGTGGCCCAGTAGGCCCGTTTTTCTCTCTCCCCAGGCTCCAGAGGTTTTCTAGGAGCCTGGGGAGGGCAAAAACGGCTCCCTCCCCAGAGGCCAGAAATGGCCCATTTGCTGACTTCCGGTGGGCCCAAAAGGCCCGAAAATCAGTTGGCCAGTGCATGGATGCCAGAACTGAGCTTGTGTGCCCAGCCACACCGATATGGCCACACGTGCCACCTGTGGCACGCATGCCATAGGTTCATCATCACAGGTCTAGAATATCAACAGCTTCCCATTTCAAATTGTGGCTTAACTTGTCTATGGGTGAAGAGCAGTGGTGGGATCCTCCCAGTTTAACAACCGGTTCGGTAATCATGCGCTTCGCATGCATGCATAGTTTGAAGAAATCTTCACTTCCGCATTTCTTCGGAAAAGAAACACAGCTGTGGCACAGCAATCTGCTCTGCCACACAAATCAGCTGAGAAGATAAAGGTAGGAAAATAGCGCGGGCGGGCGGGTGGGTGGTCCCAGCTGATCATCAGGGCAAACCGGTTCACTCCCAGCTGATTGACAGAGCTACCAGTTCACCTGAACCAGTCCAAACCGGTAGAATCCCACCCTTGGTTGAGAGATGAAGGAATTCCATAACCAAATCAAAAATAACATGGTTAAATTGACTACCAGCAGGTTGGCAAAAGAATAAGACAAAGGTATATACTATCCCCTTATTTGTTAAACCTATATGCTAAATATGAGAGTCGGTTTGGTGTAATGGTTAAGGCACCAGGCTATAAATTTGAGACCATGAATTCTAGTTACACCTCAAGCCCAAAGCCAGTTGGGAGACCTTGGGCTAGTCCCTCAATCTCAGCCCTAGGAAGAAGCCAAAGGCTTCTGAAATTTTGTCAAAAATCTGTAAGAGCTGCTCCAGACAGACCTCAGGAATCAATACAGACTCAAAAGACATAAAAACAGAAACAGCTAAATATACAGAAGGAAACTGGACTAGAAGATGATTAGTGTGGTTTTAAAAGTGGATGAAGAAATACTGATAGCCTAACCTACGCTTATGGCAGTACTCTTGATACCTGAACATGCAAATAGTATGAAAATGAAGTCAAGGAACGTAAGTCTACGAACACAGGGAAAAACTGTAATTAAGATTAAATACAATGAAGGTCAAAGTCATGACAATAGGTACAAAAACCAGCCTCTGAACTGGCAATGAAGATACTGTATAGCAGTTAGGTTTACCTTTTAAAATCAACTATTGACAGGAAAAGAACCAATAGTCAAAAATATTCTGCAGATTAGCACTTGGTAGAATAGCTACAAAGTCCTAGAAAGATAGTCAGTTTGTAGGTATAAATACATAATGTGTCTATACCTACAAAGATCAGCATTGATGTTTTTTCCCTGTGACACTCTATGGAAGAAGCAGGATAGGAAGAATATTGTTTCTTTTAAACCAGAGGTCTTCAAACTTGGCAGCTTTAAGACTTGTGGACTTCAATTCCCAGAATTCTCCAGCCAGCATAGAGAATTCTGGGAGTTGAAGTCCACAAGTCTTAAAGCTGCCAAGTTTGAAGACCTCTGGTTTAAACTCTGATGTTGGAAACGACTATCATAGGTAGTCAAGAAAACAAACAAATGAACCATCCAGATTTCTTATTTGGAAGCTCAAATGATCAGGCTCAGTCATCATATTTTTGGACACAATACTTGAAGCATCAGCTCCCTTGAGAAGTCCATAATGTTGGGAAAGATGGAAAGAAAGAGAAAAAGACAAACAGCAACAAGGTGGATGGATTCAATTAGAGTGGCAATGGCTATACCATAGGAAGACCTGAAGGTCTAAGTTGGGGGCAAACCATTGTTGAGAGTCAACATTGCTCTGATGCACATAAATGATAATGGCACATAATTAAGCAGAGGTGAAATATTTACAGTCTGGATAAAAATTTGGGTTGAACCCAGGGTTATGACTTCTTGGTTTTCAGGTCCTGCTATAACTCAGACTGAAGCTAAACTTAAGCACATATCTCAGGTTTTCCCTTCTTTAACTAATATTTACTACGTTGAATTTTGCTTTGTGGGCTATATTAAATTATGTGCACACTTTTATGAAAATAACAACTGTGAGGATATCAGAACTTGAATTGACAGTGATGGATGATCAGTTCTTGCCATGATTTGCAATTTTCCTGCCAATTAGAAACTCACATACAAATTTGGTTGAACAATATCTGTTTCAATTTTTTCTAATGTTTTCATATTTTAACATATGTGTTGTAGAAACTAGAACATGGTTTGTTGCTTTTTTCACTATAGAATAAGGCATATTTTTGTCCCTGAATAGTATATGCATATTATTATTTTTTTACAATTGTAAATATTATTGTAGGCTGCCCAAAGTCACTTCTTGTAAGAAAGGAAACTATATAAATTTGATAAATAAATAAATAGTAATGAAGTATATTGGCATAGAAAAAGAATCATGCAAAATTGCATGAATGCAATCTTTTTGGCAACCTTTTGGGAAGTGATTTTCCATTTTCTTTTTCCTAGGGCTGAGAGAAACTGACTGGTCCTATGCCACCCACCGACTTGGTGCCCAACGCAGGACTAAAATTTTTAGTCTTTCAGTTTCTACCAGGTATCTTTAACCACTACACTAAATTGGTTCTCTCCAAAGAATTACAAACACAAAAATGGAAGCGTTTGGATGTTTAGTAATGCAGAGAATATGGACAGAGATATAAACTAATTCATAATCAATTTTGGGGTGAATTGCAAAAAGAATTTAAATAATGGAAACAAAGTTTAGGCTTGATCTCGAGTCTTTTCTAGACAATCTGCACATATTCTAGATATAGCTTCAGAGCCAAATAGACATTTGGCATCATCCCTTCTCTTGATTAAGTTAAATCTGAACCCAGTCTCTCTATATGTTAGCCTATGTTACAGACATACAGCAGAAGCAATTATTTCAACTTAGGTAGCTTGTGTGCGATAAAGGTCATAATTTTGGAATTTCTGCTAACAATTCACTCTGAAAATGACCTTAACCTTCTAGGCCAAGAAATAGCTTTGCCAATATAGATGATTGCTGTCTAATCAAAGCACAATGGGCCTTTAACCTCTTTGTCCGGAGGTAATAGCACTTTCCTGTGTTTTTAACAAGCAGCTTGAGAACTCACATTATGCAGAAGTATATATTTAAATATATATTATTTTGGTATGGCCAGTGATACTTAGTGATTGTAAACAGATAACAAATTTAATCACAAAAAAAATCTCAAACAGGAATTGAGAACAAACTTTTAATTGTCACAGCACTTGGGCAGCTCTGAGTATTTATAAGAAACAGAATAGCAGAAGTTTCACTTAAGTTTCTGAAAAGAGACAAATCGGAACATAAGAATTTGGAAGAATTAAAACACAATGACTGAAAAAAGCTGCTAGCATCCAACTTACTTATAATTTTCCTGCTTGGCAAGTTGTTATAGAGATGTTCAGCATTGATCTGTAAAGCTCGGTAAAATTCTTGACAGGGTTTGTCCCCTTTCTTTTTCAAGTGAGCTATAAGGTTTGATAGCCGACTATGAAGAGGAGCTTTGGGATTCCGAAACTGTAGAGAAAAACTACTGTTTAGATTGCAAGAACTAGATTTCACCACCACAACTATATTGTACAATGTTAAAACAGTTCCCCATCTCATTTCCGCAGCACATGAAAGAGTAAAACACTAGATTTGTAGCTTGTTCAAACTTATCAGTAGATTATGTGAGTCGACATAACCTATTGATGTTGCTTCTCTAACAGGATGGGAATAAAACATTTTCTATGAGATGAAATATTCATCTCTGGGCAGAAATATTCATCCTTTAAATGCTTAAATAAATAAGGAACTAATATGCTACACACGCAAGATCTCTGCTGTGGTCTTAGGAATGTAAGAGGACAGAGAAATGGCCACTATGGAAAGTAGAGTTTATGGGAACAAGAGGCCAATCATTGATTCCAGAACTTTATGCCAATTCTCATAGACTCAAAGGCTCATTCTTCAGTTCCAGACAATAATTGGCAGTTCCAGAGAATAGTTGGATTCTATATTTTCAAAATTGCTGGATTGCCTGTTTATTTATTTATGAGTTACATCTTAAGAGGCAAATTCAAATCATCGTACCGCACTTGATATAGCTCAACTTAATTATCTATATAAGTCTATAAGCCTATATTCACATTTTGATACTTCTGTGGATTGAACTGAAAAGCCATAACCTATGCATCTGTTGGAAGCATTCAGGCTTGGAAGTGCATCTGCATGTAAATCAGATCATTCCTATTTTACACAGTAATGCAATTGTAATTTGCTTTGCTGGAGAAGAGGCATGTGTGCAGGTGCAAACAAGAGACAATTACACTATAAGTGCACTATGGAAGATTTTGTTTCAGATTGGATGTTCTGACTGCAAACAGAGGGCAATCCCACTCAGAGTTCCACATGAATATTAACAAACACATGGATACGTCTCCTGCAGCTATAGAATAAAAATCCAAATAGTGTGGGCATATGTTCATACCATTTGGATTCCATTTAGATAAGTGCTATCTGATTAAAAGAGCTTTACTTGAAGGAGCTACACAACAACCTATGAATTAAAAATATTTTCTTACTTCCACATGTTTTCCTTATATGTCATTGAGTATTACCATTTTTTGGCTTTAAGTAAAAATGATAGCGGCTCTCACATGTTCTTCTAAAAGAAATGTGCAATGCAATACAGAGACCCCTCCTAGCTTCTCTTTTAGATTTTTATCCAAGCCAGAGAAGGACTAATTTTGCTCAAGCAGCATAACCGGTCTTGGGGGAATCCTAGTTTCCTGGACAAACAAGGCTACCCACACTATTCTTGCCTTAGCAGGGAGGAAGGAAGGAATAAAATTTTCCCCATTCTGTATATATGCAATAAACTACTTATTCTTTGTAACAGGGATCATACCTACATTGCATTTTTTCTGGTGACACCACTCTGGAACTTTGGTTCAAGGATCCATTTTGTTCCATTCAAAATAACAGTTAGTGAAGATGATGAAACTTACTCAAATGGCCAAACTGACTTCTCTGATCAGAGAAATGATAATATATACCATACTGTTATTGGTGACTAAAAACCCCTCATGGACTTTTTGTCTAATACAGAAAAAATCAACTTATGTATGGTTTTGATGATTAGGCAGGGAAGATTATAGAAAGCAGAGTGTCATTGTATAACTTTAGAGAAATTTATAATTGTACTTATAACAGCTGTAAAGAAGCCATTTCTTTGTATCTTTTTCTTTTCTATTTTTCTTTTTCCCTTGCATTTTTAGTTTCTCATTGATTTTTTCTTCTTCCTTATTTATATAGTTTGCATTAGTTTTTGCCTTTGTCTTTAAAAATTTTTTTTAATTTTAAAAACAAACTTTATTAGATTTAAAAAACAAAACATAAAATTGTATAAAACATTCACAACCTTAAAATACAATCAACAATATCAACAAACAAATAAGGTATATATAATGTATATAAGTACACTTATATTAAAGAACTTATTTTCCCTTTTTTCCCCTTAATGACGGTGTATAATTATTACTTTAAATTTCTTACTAAGCTTTGACTTTACCTTCTTTTCCATTGGTTTATCCATATGGTTTGTCCCATGTCTTAAAATACTTCCTTATCTTTCAATTTCAACGTTAGTCTATCCATTTCTGCACATGTGTAAATTTTTTGAATTATTTGCTGCTCCGTTGGCAATTGATCTGTTTTCCAGACTTGTACTAGAGCTAACCTAGCTGCTGTAATTATATGTAATATTAGGTACTTTTTTTCCTTTCTAATGTTTTGTTTAAGCATTCCTAACAAAAAAAAATTCTGGTTCTAGCTCAATATCCTCTGCTATTATTTCTGATATCCAAATTTTAATTTTTATCCAATATTTTTTAATTTTTGGACAAAGCCACCAGACATGAAAGAAGGTTCCCTGTGCTTGCTTACATTTCCAGCACTTTGGATTAAGGTTTGCATACATCCAAAACTTTTAAAAGTCTTTAAAACTGTTAATACAATTATATTATTTTTTAAAAAACAATTTATGTTGTTCAGGACAAGCTGCAGAATCAAGGACTTGGGAGCATGCCAGGGGAAAAAATAATGCACACAGTCAAGACAATCAAAGTCTCATGTACTGAAGTGCCTCATTCACTAAGAGAAGGAGTGTCAGATTATTCTCTGGATCCCAATTTTTCTTTACAGCAGAAAAGAAATAATATAGCTTGCATGCAAAAACATGGGCTGCACTATTCTCATTCTTAGCATCCATATCCTTAAAAAAAAAAAAAGAAATCCTGCAGCTGTGATTTAAATAGCTGAGCTACTCTTCTAATCAATTATGCTGTGTGTACTGCACCTTTGACAAACACCACTTACACTTGAGTCCATGATGCAGACATGAATAGAAATTATCCATTAATAGTGTGCATATTAAGAATATTCATACCTGTTCTTGGAATTACCTTCCTAATTATTATCAGACTTATGACTGGTATAAAGAGATGCCAATACTGAAATCCTGTGCACTTCTATTTAACAGACTTGAATGAGCTACATAAATGATAAAGAATGGGAGTTGAGTATTTAAGATTCTATGCTGCGGCTTCATTAGTTACATAGGAACAAGTCTCAGCTTTCAGAATCTCCATCTATAAAATCAATGTCTTCTACAAGTATATATATTGTTCAGTTTTTTTAAACATATACAGTACTACAAATGTGGCATGAGAACCACATTTCTACACTGGAAGGTTTTCATTTTGGCTTCTTATTCTTGGACCACCAGAAATTATTGCTTTCTGGATCGTACCCATTCTCAGTCACATCCAAGGATATTATAGCTTTAGAATTAAAAAAAAAAGAATTCAAGAATGCAACTCTAATTGCATAAAATGAGCACAGAAAAATTAAAATGTATCTGGAGACACCATTTTCTCTTGATTACCTTTTCAGCTTCTTTAATGGTGAGAATTTGGGGATAAACTCGATTTAGCTGAAGAATGATTTTATCAACCAGCTGTTCACTCAGTCTGCCATTGCTGGTTAGAAAAGCTGTGTCCTGTCGCAAACGATCACAATAAATCTGATCTATAAAACAGAAACAAACAAAAAAACCCAGATTATTTCTCTTAAACATGGCTGAAATGGAAATGATACATACTTCATTCTGACCATGTCCTCACGGGTTTAATAAATTTCAGACATACCTCGAAAGTATTTCATGTCATGAAGTTATAGCCCTTCTTAGACATGTGCAACATTTAAAGAGGCAGGCCTTGGATTGCAATGCCATGGATACCATCTTGCCTAGTTTGACCCCTCCTGGAGGCTCCACGTAAACTACTTACGCTATCAAACTTAAGAATGATCCTTTGCCAGAGTCAGTTATGTATATGAAACTCTCTAGTGGTATAAATGCTACTCAATTTGACATGCAATGCTGTGTTATCTCTGTTGTTTGCATTACAAACATTAGGACCATTATAACTGAGGAAGACGTAGGAAATTAGTTTCTTCTTTTAAATCCCTTTTTTGAAAACATATATAGGTTCAGGCTGCTGTAGCTTTGCTTCTGTATATTTGACATAATCAACAAGAGAGAATTTCTTGCCTATCATCAATTGTCTTGAAAGAAGCAGCATTTCCTCATCTTTCCTTAATCAAATCAAATGCATTTCACAAATTAGTATTATCACCTTAATATATAAACTGATAAAATCAATTTGTGAAATACATTTGATAAATGGCTTAATCCAGGGGTCCCAACCCCCAGTCTGAGGCCTATTGGGAACCGGTCTATGGAAGCGGCAGCCACGCCTGCAAAATCGTCCCCTCCCCACTGCTGTCACTGGTGCCAGTCCAGGTTGGGGACCACTGGCTTAATCTGTTCTAGTTACAAGTAGTCCAAGTTATAACCATTTGTTTAGTGACCATTCAAAGTTCAACAGCATTGAAAAAAAGTGACTTATGCCCGTTCCTTGCAGTTATGACCATAGCAAATCAGGGGTGAAATGCTCCCGGTGCAGACCGGATCACCTGATCCAGTAGCAATGGCGGGGGATGGGTCGGAGAACCAGGAGCAAAAATCTGTGCGGTTCCCCCCCCCCCCCCGATGCCCAGCTGAGCCGCACGATCATCAGAGGCTTCTTTTTCTACAACCTCGTCAGCCGAAAAAATGCTTTTAAAAGTTTTTTAAAAAGCCTCTGATAATCACAGGGCTCAGCTGGGATTGTCAGAGGCTTTTAAAAGCATTTTTTCTACAACCTCTTTGGCTGAAAAGGCTGTAGAAAAAAATGCTTTTAGAAGCCTCTGACAATCCCAGCTGAGTTGCCTGATCATCAGAGGCTTTTAAAAGAAAAAATGCTTTTAAAAGAAAAAAAAGCCTCTGACGATCAGGCAACTCCACTGGGATCGTCAGAGCCTTTTAAAAACATTTTTTTACAATCTCTTCAGCTGAAGAGATTGTAGAAAAAATGCTTTTAAAAGTAAAAAAAAAAAGTTGGCCACACCCGCGCAGTCACATTACCCCCCCCACCAAGCCACACCCACAGAACCGGTAATAACAAATTTTACATTTCACCACTGTAGCAAATCCCCAGGGCCATATGATCAAAAACTCAAGTGCCTGAAAATCAGCATGTATGTATGATGGTTGCAATATCCTAAGGTTATGGAATTGCCCTTTGCAACCTTTCCAGCCGACAAGGAAAGTCAACAGGGGGAAGCCAATTTCACTTAAAACCACATGGTTTACTTAACTGCAGTAATTTACCATAAGTATGGCAAACAAACAAAAAAAAGATTGTAAATCAGATGTAACTCACTTAACAACTGTTGTTGTTACTAACTACTCTAGCCCTAGGTCTGTTCCTTCAGTAAGTTGTATCTACAGCATATCACAAACTCTGAAATTATAGATGCTTAAATGAATTAAGTCTTCTATTAGATTTCATTACAGAAACCGAAGGTGAACCACAGTTATTCCTGTGAAACAGAAGGACATGCGTTTTTTAAAGCAATGATTCTTTATCAAACATGTTAGCTTATATAAAACAAAATAGAAAAACTAGTAATTAATTCTAAGGGATTCTGAGTGTTTTCATAGAACTGAAAAACGCATGAAGCTTACTAGGTTTCATGTATGCAGATAACATTTCCAACAAACCAGGTTTGATGTCTGCAATTATGATTCATTAAAGGTATCATTTGCCAGAATATTTTGCTTTTTATTTATTTACCTTATGCTCCCCATTAGTTCAACTAAAAGCAAGAAAATAATCAATACTGTACTGGGATTGGATAATTGGAAAGTATGGTTTAATATTATATTCAATACAATGTGCTCAATATTCTCATTTTGTTTATTATCAGAAGGTTATCTCTAGTTACGCCAAAATATACACATCTTGTTCATACAATATTACATATTTGATTGACATCAACAAGCAATGAAATGGATAAATATATTGCTTAAAATGGTTTTAAAAGCCATATGTAAAAGACGCAACCAACATTTCATCAAAAGCCTAAATCCAAATAACCAACCAGACAAACGCTATAAAAACATCAGTTTTCATCAAAACAATAATTAATTTATCTCTTTTACTGTATTCTTGTAAAATCTAAGATATCTCATAAAGTCTAAGAAATCAAAGATCTCACAAAAATCTAAGAATATTGTATATAACAGGGGTCCCCAACTCCTGGGCCGTGGGCTACTATTGGGCCATAAGCTGTTTGGAACCGGGTCACAAAAGCGGCAGGCGAGCATGCGCATCTCCACTTGCATGAGCAATGGGGGAGCATGGGCACATGCACTCCATTTGCGTGAGCAGTGGGCATGAACCATTCCCACTTCCCTGCCTGCTGGTGTGCAAAACTGGAAAGGTTGGTAAACTCTGGTACATAACATCTAAATTTCAATAAAATAATAGTATTTAAAACTATTAGTAACAATGAAGTAATAATAATATCTGACATTTAAATGAATTATAGTTACAATGAATGCATTGTGGGAGAGTGGCCCACCAGAGTTTGAGAGATCTTCTGTGCTACAATGTAGTGTCTAGAAACTATTGCACTCCCACACATAACAACTAAAAGCACGGCTCTGGTAGGTAGACGACACCTTTGTCATAATAAAAAAAAGAAACAACTAGAGAAGACACATGAAACAAACACATCTTCAAAGAAATAAAATTCACAAAGAAGGAAGGAATCAACATACTACCACCCACACTAATCAAGTGTTCCACTACCAAAGTAACAACCCAACCTCCTACAAGAGGAGCTGTGTAAGAACATTATTCATACAAGCACAAACAGACTGTCTATACAACTTTTTTTTAACAAAATGTATACCCACACAACTTTATCAAAAAGTGTCTGACCACTTCACCCACTACAGCACAGCCAGCAAAAGCTATGAATAGGAAAACAGTACCATACATAAAAACATTTCAGAAACAACACCAGACTATTACAACCACATGGCATCACCGGAGCACAGAAACAACTAAAACTCTTCAAAACATCTTAAGTAAATCAAAAGACAAAAAAACAAGAGTCATCTGAACCTACAGTGTAAGGATTGCAATAGCCATTATGCAGGACAGACACTCAGAAGACTAGTATAGCCCACCCATGAATTAGGAGGCAGAAGACACAATGAAAACTCCTTTATCTCACAACACAACAGACTCAATCATAGTTTCAACTGGAAAACGGAGCATCTTAGACCAAGCTAAATCCAAAAACACCAAGGAATTCCCAGAAGCTTGGCATTCATACAAATCCATTTATTAATCAGATAGTTTATTTATTTATTATTTATTTATTTCATGTATTTATATGCCACCCTTCTCCAGGAGGACTCAGGGCGGCGAACACAAGTTAAAAACATGTACAACAAAATCCCATTTTAAACCAAATTAACTAATAAATAATAAATAATAAAACCCAGAATCAGAGTCAGCCTATTATCAATCAGCCATCAATAAAATCAGCTATCAATAGACATGAAGAGATAAACCACATTTACTGTATACACCAGTCAGAGACAGTAAAAATGTTAAGGAGGAAACAGAAAGTACAGAACACATCCTCTCCAGCACCCTATACCCAGATAAGGAGGGACTAATACTAGACAAAGAAGGACAAACCAATACCCTAATCAAGGAATTACCAAGAAGAAACTATACCCCTCACCAATACTGGCAAAGCAAACAACTGTATATAAACAGGAAGCAAATCCTAAAATCACTAGCACTGATTTGGTAATGAGACATCTGCAAGCAAATAACCACGCTCAGAGAGCCCCAGTCTAAGATAACTATTCCATGTTAACATAAAATAAATTGGAAAAGTAAACAGAGTGTATCACTAAATACCATGTCAGTAAGTAATCCAAAGAAAAGAATAATTCAGCTATTTTTGTTTGTGGACAAGAGGAAAGCTAACAAAGGAAAATGCTCTTTATTTTGGCTTTGGCACAGATGATAAACTGAGCCTTTGCACAAAGCAGGCAATTATGGAACTCAGAATGACTGCTGAATGACCAGATCATTATGGTAACTACAGGTGTTTAAGGCCCAATCCACCTCCTCCTCTCGTTTCTTGGAAATAATCAGACAAATCCATACAAATGGAGAATTTGATTGCTACTGGCACCAAAACTATAAGGTATTATTATATAAGGCATCATTATTTGAAAGAAAGTAGTTATGAAACTGTTAAAACTTAGGCAACTTTTCAGTTTTGGAAGCAAGAAAGGCTTCCGATTTCTGATTGTTGATGTTTCTGCAGTGTCTGATCATTGCAGGGGAAGCAAGCTATTTTCTTGCTTTTTGCAATATCCTCAGTTTGGCAAAGTTGGAACTGGGCTACTAAATTGAATTGGCACATGCTGTTATCTAGTATGAGCAACTCTTATTTTACAGAGACTAGAAATTTATTAGTAAAGGAAAAGAAAATGTAAACGTAAAGCACACAAGTCCACTGGATTTGGGTACCCAACAAATTTAAATAATACATTTAAATAATAAATAAAACTTTCTTTGGCTAGGGGGCAATGTGAATCCATAATACCCTAGAAACTGAAATGTTTTAATTTGACCACAAGATTGTTTTGATTAGATGTAAAAAGTGTATGAACAATGGATGGCAAATCTGAAAAAAAAAAATGTATAAGGAACCACCCTGGCTTTTGCCAACTTTGTGTTGTATAAAAAAAAAAGGTGGGTGGAACTATTGCTCATTGCAGTTATTAGAACTAGCAATTAAAACAAGCAGTTTTTGGACTGTGCTCCCTGAAGCTGGATCCTACAGCTTCCTACTTATTCCAATAAATGAACAAATAATTTTCAGTATTCCAATAAATCCAATAAATGAACAAATAATTTTCAGTAGGACCAAGTCTACTTTTCTGTTTTATCATACCATAGATAAAAGTCTAAGATTAAGCAATTGAGAGAATATATAACAACTCAGAACTGCTCCCCAAATTTCACTGCCTTTTTCCTCAATGACTTTTTTTAAAAAAATAACAAGCATGTGCTCTCAGAAATACAACACTTAGTCCCAAAGTCAATTCTGATTAAGAAACAGCTTCAGATTATTATGAATGCTAGACACCGATAAAGTAATCTAAAGGTAGTTTTGAAGGGCAGCACTGAGAAGTAAAAACAAATTAAAATTCTAAATGGGCAATTTGTGGACATGTTAAAAAGCAGCCATTCACTTCAGAATAAAATCAAGCCTTCATAAAAGTGTTAAAAACACTATCTGAAATGTCCCCGCGTGGGTGACTGAATTGTTATACCTATTTTTGGAATACTGTTAAATCATCTGATAGGAAAGTTATTTGGTGCTGCTTATTATAGATACTTCAGGACAGGACATACATATAATTTTGGCTTTCAAAAGACCACAGTAAAAGCTAATAAGTGCATCATGTGATTTCCTTCAGTGTCTCATCTTAGAACATCTAAAAGGATTATTGTTTGCCATCAATCAAATGACAACGTGCATCCCAGGCACTTATTACAGGCAGCCTCCACAGCACATCCTGCTTCAGCTCTGCTTTTAAAGTCCCGCAGGACATGAATCTGGCAAGAGCAGCTTTTCTTGCCAAGTTCATTCTGCCTTTCTTACACTTGAAGTAGCCCAGGCATCTCATACCTCCTTTTCCCGCCTAGGATCAGCCACAGGATGTAGCTCAGTCTGATGGGTCCAAAGTTATTCCATGTGTTTTGGTGGCACGCTGATCTGAACCCAAGTCACACCCATGTTCTGATTGAGCTTTCTACACCACAGCTTAGAAAGACCCATACAGCTATGGATTCACAACTGCCTGTGTGTAGTACTACTACGGGTAGTCCTCAACTTACAAACATGATTAAGCCCGAGATTTTCATTGCTAAGCAAGACAGTTGTGAGTTTTGCCCCATTTTATAAAATTAAGTGAATCGCAGCAGTTGTTAAGCTAGTAACACAGTTGTTACGTGAACTTGGCTTTCCTATTGACTCTGCTTATCAGAAGGTTGCAGAAAGTGACCACATAACCCCAAGGCACTGCAACCGTCATGAATATGAGCCTGTTGCCAAGTATCTGAATTTTGATCATGTGACCATGGGAATGCTGCAAAGGATGTGTGAAAAATGGTCATAGGTCACTTTTTTCAATTATTATTATTATTATTAATTAAATTTCTATACCGCCCTTCTCCAAATAGGACTCAGGGCGGTGCACAGCCAAGGTAAAAACAGAGCATACAAAATTTAAAAACAGTATTAAAATAATTAAATATTTGGCCGTAAATTAAAACAACCCAATTTAAAATCAATTTAAAATTTAACTCAAGCCAGCCCAGCTAGTTGAAATAAATAGGTTTTTAATGCCATTGTAACTTTGAACTTTTATTAAACGAATGGTTGTAAGTCAAGGACTACCTGTATTAAAAATGTACAAACTCTATCCCATTTTAACACTACAGTAGTTATTAGAATTGCACTTTTCCTATTTGATCCTGAACTGGCTATTTCAAACCTGTTCAGATGGGGTCTCAAGAGAGGTTAAGAGCCAAAAAGAAGAAAATTCACATGCAGTTAAATGCAGCCAATTTTCTTTCACTAGAGCTCTGCCTCTTGACCACCCCAAGAAGGGTATTGGTTTTTAGACTAGCAGGTTCTGCAGCCTGAAATTTTTGAAACCCCCTGCACTGCAGACAACTCATTAAAGCAGCCCTTTCTCTTTCCAGGAGCACATAGTAGTTGTTTTACTAAGTCACAGGCATACTATATACTCAGTGCCACAGGACAACCAAGCACTGCAAACAAGGCCTCAAGTCTCTTACCATGTCATCATTGCCCTAACCTAGTTTCTAGAAAACAGGTTTCTCATTTTCTCTGAGTTCTTTCGCTAAAAGGAGTCGTATTGCAGTGGCTTCCATGGTTACAATGCATAATAAGCCACTTCAACCTTCTGGAAGACCATGAAATGTGACTCTTCCCACCAAGCATTGAATTAGGATGGGGGCTGAGCCAGGAGATTGATAGTGGGTTAGCATGGCCCCAGGCGGGAAGGATTGTTCTGGTTTTATTCTCTTTATATTGTTGTTGTTGTTAGTTGCGAAGTCGTGTCTGACCCATCGCAACCCCATGGACAATGTTCCTCCAGGCCTTCCTGTCCTCTACCATCCTCTGGAGTCCATTTAAGCTCACGCCTACTGCTTCAGTGACTCCATCCAGCCACCTCATTCTCTGTCGTCCCCTTCTTCTTTTGCCCTCAATCTTTCCCAGCATTAGGCTCTCTCTTTTTATTAGCTATTGTTAACTGGCTAGGATCACTCTGAGACGGGAGCTATACAGTTCTTTAAATAAATATATAAATTGAATCAATCAATCAATTAAAGCCACTCCTTCCAGCCAGTCTATACATCCTATCATATTTAAATTTCTCACATTCTCTTTAGAAGTAATTGAAAGTGGCACCATCTTACCTAGCCCACTTCTGTTACTTAACCAAGTTAGCAACCAATTTGCTGCTTAAGAAACAAAGCTAAATAAAACGGCATTGACCATTCTACTTACAAATACCTGATGGACCAGGTGGAGAATTTTACAGGGTGAGACTTGCCTGATGATAATAAAAGAGGCAGCACTTAAGTCCAAAGAGATACTCAGATGATCAGAAAAAGACAGAACATCTAGGAAGCAGACAAGAAGGAAGCAAGCGCTCTGGAGCAGTTTTTCCTCAACCTTAGCAACTTTAAGGTGTATGGACTTCAATTCCCAGCATATAGGCTGGGGAATTCTGGAAGTTGAAGCCCACACATCTTAATCTTGCTAAGGTTGAAGAAACACTAAGATAGAAAAGGAGGGCAGAAGATGATGATTCAGCATGTATGCTTATGCAGAATGAAGAGAATATGACTTCAGCAACAGAGTGGTCAATGCCTGGAATGCACTACCCGACTCTGTGGTTTCATCTGAAAACCCCCAAAATTTAACCTTAGACTGGCTACTGTTGACCTCACCCTTTTCCTAAGAGGTCTGTAAGGGGCGTGCATAAGAGCACCAGCATGCCTACTGTCCCTGTCCTAATGTTTCCTTTAATTGTATTCATTTTATGTATTCAATTCATGCTTATATTTATATATATTATATCTAATACGTACTCGACAAAATTTATTTTTTATTATTATTATTATTGAATTTGTATACCGCCCTACTCCCGAAGGAGTAAATAAAATAAATAAATAAATAAATAAAAATAAATAAAAAAATAAACAAGAAAAGGAAGGAGTGATTCAATGGAAACTATAAGGAACCCAGAGCAGCCTTTTCAAATGCGCAACTCTTCAGGATTACAGAAAGAATGTTTCATTAGAATTGTAGCAACTCTGTTTTCCAGTCTTAGCAACGTTTAAGAATCACCCTTGAAGAAATTCAGAGCCTTTGCTGAAACTGTAGTTCTACCGTACTAATAGTAAAAGGCCAATGGCTGGAATACATTTGAATCCTCTGCATGTTCAGTGATGTTTGGTATAATAGGGTTAACTATGATTACTATAGTAAAAGTTTCTGTGAGGGGCATTGCCAAAAGTATGGAAGTAGTGACTCTGCTACCATGCCAATGAGTCAGACATGCATGACTCACTCGACACAAAGCCCCATACTAACTGGTTTCTTTCATTACTACCCATGTAATACTTATTGTTACAGTATGCCTATGCAACGGACAACACTTCCGTTAAATTGATCGAATATACAGAGACTGCAAATCATATAAAACACAAGCCTGAAACCTAGGAGTCTCGGATCGGCACTTCCAATACAAACTTACTCTTACTTCACACCCATTTAAAACATGCACCGAGGATGCCCCTGCAAAACGCCTCGGAGTAAGGTCGGCGAAATTCCGCTAAACGCTTTTCCTGTCAGGAACCGCTGCGAACTTGGGAGGTGTTCGGAACCCTATCGCGCTGCGCGAAACCCACAAAGGCGTTAAGAGACCGAACTTCGCGGTCTCGCAAGTGGGCTTCCCCGACTCAAGCGGGTCCTGCCCTTCTGCGCCCCCTGCAGCCGGGAGTCGGCGGTGCCGCCGGCCGTCTCTTCCCTCCGCTCGGCTCGCTGGGAAGGGAGCTACTGACCTGGCATTATGGCGGCAAGGCGAGCCGGTGTGGCGAGGCAGGAAGCGTCTTTGTCCCGCGGCTGGCGAGCCCTGCCTTCCGCGCTGCCTCGGGGGCGTCTCGAGCCTTCCCAGAAGCTAGGAGGCCCTCCAGCTGCGCGGCTCTGATTACAGGCCGGCCTCGTCCCCGCGCCTTTCCTGCAAGTCTGCCAGAAGCTGCGGAGGAGGAAGTGGGATAGGAGCCGCCGCCCGGCCAGCAAGTTTCTTTCCTCCCCGCTTGTCCTCCGAAGACTTGGCCAGGGGATTGGAAAAGCCGAGTCGAAACTCTCGCATTCCGCCTCGCGGCTGGTTCTAAAGCGCTGCTGCTGGGATCTACCCACATACACACACAGACAGAGAGAGAAAAGGAATCTGCTCCTTGGCCGGAGCTTCTTTAAGCCTCCGTAGGAGACAAACTTTGTAGCAGGATCCATGAAAATGGCAGGCGATTAAGATAACTCTCGGCCACGTCGGAGGGCAACTGCGGCTGGATCTGGGGGTCGATCTTAGAGTCTACTTTTTAAGAAGTGCCCCCCACCCCCATAAGAAGCCATAGAAAGGCATCTGGGTCTGAATACAAAACCAGCAGCTCTTAGGCCTTTTTAGAATAGAATTCTTGATTTGCCAAGTGTGATTGGACACACAAGGAATTGGTCTCTGGTGCATAAACTCTCAGTGTACGTACAAGCAATTAGTGATAAATCATTTCCCACCCCCAAATGTTACAATGAATTTGCAAGAACAAAGCAGGAGTCCATAGAATGAGCCTCACAATGCATGGAACATAAAAACCTGTCATATTCCGACCATTCCGCCTTTGCTGTCTGAGAAGCATTTATCCAAGTCTGGGGTTATGCCAAAGATTAGATTGGGGACCCCTTGAATCAGCGGACTTGGTTGAGTTCAATGGGGCACTCGCTGAGCTATGCCCAGTGGTTGGAATGATAACAGATGTTGCTCTGCATGTGGATGTTGGGAGCTCTTGAGTCTGATCAAACTTGGAACCTCTAATCGCAATTGTATGAATTCCTTTTTTCCCCTTCCTTCCATTCAATTGTATCCAATTCTTGGACACTACGGGGACAAGATCCTACAGTTTTTGGGCAAGGCTTTTCAGAAGTGTTTTGCCATTGTTTAAGGTCACCTACCTGGCATTGTGCCCAAGGCAAGACTAAACTTCACCATCTCAATTTCTAGCTTGATGATTTATGCATTGCACTAAACTGGCTTCAGGGCTAATGCTGAATTAACGTTAACATTCCATTACTGTGGAAGCTTTAACTTTGACCAACATGAAACTAACAATGGTAAAGGAATCAACTGAGAAGAGCACTCTTATTAAAGGGCTCCAGCTCTTCTCTTCACATGAGGTGATGATAATGCCTGAAAAGGAAGGTTTCTGGGCAGATTGCAACATTGTTTAATTAAATGTTTCTAAAACATAAGGGGTGGGTGAGCTGTTCAAATAAACATTGAAGAAAAATATAGGGATTTTAATTTGGACAAGTTCTTCTCTGTAGGATATTTAAACCTGATTTATAGTAACTTTCTCCCAGCTTATTCCTTTCTTTTTTCCTGCCAACTTTCCAATTCACCGATAGTCATAAAAACCTTTGCCTGAAGATACAATGAGGATTAAGGTGGGTCAGATTTGTGTTTGCAAATCTGGCCCATTCATCCAAATTGAATATGTATAGATTATTTCTTGACATGAAATACTGTAATGTTGTCTTCCTGCCAGGGCAATCCCATAGAATTCAGTGGAAATCTTTTAAAACAAAATCACAGTTTGACCTTGGGTTCAATTTCTTGATCACATTAGAGTACAATTGAATTTTGGAAATTAAGAGCATATAATAACCAGAACATTGACTGACTAAGCTGTATGGCTGCTTCATTAAATCAACCCCTTCCAGTGACATGAAGGCATTAACTAACAGTTATCTTTGTCCCCTCAGAAGGTTAGGAGGCTGAGTTATGGCTCTCAATTTCTCAAATGTAACTATTTTGATTTCTTTGCTGTTCTCTGGATAAGCATTTTCCATTCTAGAAGATGCTCATCCAGAAGATGTTTTGGGCTTGGGTTCACGTGTTAACATGCAGAACTGGTTTTTATAACCTGGGTACTCTAGAACAACACTCTCTAATCTTTCTGGCTTGGCGGACTGGCATGGGGAGGGAGGGGATGGTTCGGTGTGAGTAGCAGGTGTGTGCACTTGCAACTCCTTTTGTGCAAGCAGTGGCTGACTGCATGTGTACTTGCCCACCGCTTGAGCAACCCAGTTCCAAACGGGCCACCGCCCGATACCGGGCCACGGCCCAGGGATTGGGGACCCCTGCTTTAGAAGAAATTTCCAAGTTCCAGAATTTCCAATCAAAGTGTAACTAGGTTAATGATTCAGAAGTTTGTTTTTCACATTTTAGATCAGTTTAGATCAGTTGATCATGTAAACAATGCCAAATTTAGAACCGTGGATAGAACTGATTGGAATTTACAGTTGGAAATCAAGGCAAGATACAGTCCAGCCAAAGTTCTGAGAAGAAATAACTCTCTGGTTCAGTAATCCACTAATCAACACGTTAGGACCTTGCAAAATATGCACACTCAGTTCTTAATGTCACTGATGTGCTAACAAAAAATACGAAGACGTGTGATTCATGGCTCTGTGCAGTGTTTTGCCTAGGGGAGGGGCTAATACACCTGATACTACAGGCAACTTTCCCAGTCATTAGAAAGTACTGAAAATTATTCTAAGAGCTACTGTGAAAGCTCTTCGTTTGCCAACTAATCACGTGATTCCAAGTTCTGGAAACATATGATTAGACTGGTCATTTGGAATCACAGTTGTGACTCAATAACATCTGAAGTATATTTTACAGTCAAGGTTATAGAAAAAAGTTTCCAATTGCTGCCTATATATGGAATGCTGCTTTTGAAAAGCCCTCACACTTAACCTTCAGAAATATTAATGCTGGTGTTGGTGGAGACAAACCTCTCCCTCCTTGAACTCTTGATTTAAATTCTAAACTTGGCAGCAAGAGAAATCATTCAAAAAGATTCTTGGAGTTCTCCCCATATCCCTATACTTTATAAGTCACAATCACACTTCTAAAGATAGACCTATTTTTGATTAGCAGATCTAAAACCTAACCGTCAAATATATCTTTTTAGTACATGTAATTGTTTATATAATAAACTGCTACCTTGACTTGCCCAGAAATAATATCAGAAATATTTCCCACAGAAGAACAAATTCAGTCCAAAATAAGATTATTTGCTGTTGCTAGTGCTGAAAAACTATACAGCTTTTTCCCTGAATATTCTTGTATACAATAGAAAACTTTTATCATGGTTAAAAGTTATAAATAGAAAGTCTGAAATATCCCAGCAAAAAATAAGCAGACTAGATCCACACAAAAAAGGAAGTTGACATTAAGGAGGCACTCCCTTCTCCCCTAAAGCTGTCCACATATTCTCTTATCCCTTGAGCAAAGCTTCCGTTGTCTTGAAAAAACAAGAACGCAATTCTCTCAGCAGCCTGATTGGAAAAGGCATCCTTAGGAGGGGAGGGGGGGAAATCTACAACTTACATTTTCTGAAGATCATTGTCCATGGGTTTGACAGTTTCCCCCCCGCTATGACTGAAAGAAGCCCATTAAATCCAGCAAGCTGAAACATTGTCTCCTTCAACTGCTGCCAGCAACGGAAGTTTAATGACGAGTTTATGGAAAAGTGAAAGTAAAATTCCAGTGTCACCTTATTAATGCTTTGGCCACCAGGGGTCCTTTTTTCGCCCTTGGAAACATACATTGCTTTGGGAAGGGAAAGTGAGTGTGACCCAATGGTATTTCTTTGCCCTTGGGTTTCATTCAGGTTTTTAAAATCCTAAGTGTAGTTATTTTATTGAAAGTAATCCAGCCTGACTGTTTTTGTTCCATCCTCAATTATCCTTAAATGCTTAAAATTAGATTATCTGAAGGTTTACTTACTGGCATACTGTTGACAAAACAATGATATACCCACAGCAAACCTTTTCTTTCCTGGAATAATGTTTTAATTTTTGAAAGTAATATTTCTGTAGTACAATCCTTTCCATTAATTAATTATCAAGTTATATTACCCAGTTAAAATCACATAACTAAAAAGAAAGTTGCAATTAATAACTGAGTAGCAATATTTATTTTGAAAAATCCAAATTAGAGATTAAGATAAAAAAAAAAGAACATGCCCGTTATGATACACTCTCAAAATAAAGAGTATTCTTCTGTTCTCAAGTGCATAGAAATGTAATTACAATAATAACCAACTAAAAATTGTATGATTTGTAGATAATCATTCTACAAACCTGCTAAAAGCCAATAAATAAAATAGTTAGATATGGGGGAAATCTACTGTTTCATGAACAAAATGGTTCTTAAATCCTGAAAGTACTCTTGAAAATTGGGTACCTGTAAACAACCCATGAATAGGACTGGATTAATGCCTCCCTTCAGATTCCTAGAATTTAAAGATGATTCCCCCAAAGAATCTCTGGACACGTATTCTATCTGTGAGGTAAGGTAGAACAACTTTCACTTATCTGGAAAGATGACCCATTAAACCGACCTGATTTTCCAGGTCAAGAGACAGGAGGCACCACTGAAGACATACTAGTGCAATGATGGCTAACCTTTTTGTCATCGCGTGCCAAAAGTGTGCACGCACCCGCGCCCATAATGCAGTGCGCATGTGACCCCATGTGCCCCCATGCACATGCAAGTGCTCCCCTGCACTCCCCCTACCCCCTACCCATGTGTGCGTGCTACCCCGGGCCCTGTGCATGCGCACGCGATCCCCACGCTCTCCTGCCTCTGCACGTGTGCATGACCCCCCATGCTTCCCTCACCCCATGCATACATGTGCAACCACCTGTGCATGCACGTGTGACCCCTCACACATGCATGCACATATCCCACATACGCCCTGCCCCCCATGCATGCGTGGCAGAGATCCGAAAATCAGCTGGCTGGTGGGAGGCGCATGCGCAGTGGAGCTGAGCTGGGGCAATGGCTCGCGTGTTATCAGAGAGGGTACTGTGTGCCACCTCTGGCACGTATGCCATAGGTTCATCATCACAGTACTAGTGTTTTGATTGAAGATGGAGCCAGAACAGAGACCACATAATTAATTATTCAATGAGCTAAATTGCTAAGACTAGCCTAGAAGGAAAATACTGAGTTAGTGCCATTTGGGAACTCAGCTTGCTATCTTCAGGGTGTGGGATTACATGACAATTTTAAGACTTGTAGGTTTTTGCACTACGTTCAATGAATTCTTATTGGTGGCATAGGGAGTATTGAACATCTGAAGCTTGAGTTTGCAATAAATATCACTTTCAGAGTTTTACTATGTAATGTGTTGTTTAGCTTTGGTCCTAAAATTGTCTAGGTGAGCTTGATAAAAACAGGGGGCTCCTAATAATACACTTACTTATGATCATTTTCTGTCTCTCTTGTGATACCGTTATGTCATGCAAATAAGAAATGCCCATTAAAACAGGTTGAGTAGAAGCTGGGGCAATGGAAGTATCGAAAGTACACATAGCATTATTGACTATTGTTACCACTAGATAATTAGAGGTAGAACTGGAAGAACCATATGGCTAGAACTGCATGCTATTTTGCACATTAAAGCAATCTACAAGACAGCCTGCTCCAATTTATTAACTGATAAAAATGGGAAAACTATAATTCTCTAAATGTGTTAGTTTATATGTTTGTTGGATTTACTCATCTTTCATTTTTCTTATGTGTTTTAAAAATGATACATAATTTCTTATGTGAGCAATAATTAAAGCTCCAGGGATATCATTATCATAAACAAAAGATATTTACAGGAGAAACAAAAGATAATCATCACCAAATTGTCTGAGTGCAATTTCTTTGTAAAGCACCTTGTAGTTTGCAGAACCAAAATTGCTTAAATAAATCCTAGCGTTTTAATAATATTCCTTCTGTAAATCTACTGCTTTCCCAAGGCTTGGTATCTTTGTGTTGTTTCTGATTATTGTTGGTGTTATTATTTCTATTTTGGATTTAAAAAAAGGTTTAATAGGAATGTGCTGTATTACTTATTTTTGCACATATCTGTCTCTGATGGGGATAGTGACTGTTCTCTAGCTGAAAATGCTCTTTTCTGTTTATTGCTCTTTTTGGGACCACATGCTGAACAACAAAACCCACTATGAAGCCCCAGCAACCACTTCCTTAAGCCTTATCTGTCTTCACTCTATCGCTAGTTTGCTAGTTTTTGCATGCTGGCCTCTTCCAGTTTTCTCTGCTCTATGCAAAAGATGCATATACTGTAGTAGTAGCTAGGCAACAAGGAGTTTCAAGGTTCAAGTTTTCTGATGAACATGGAAATCTTTCTCTTTTTTTTGGTAGTCTTTCTTCATTTTTATCATCCCCTATCAACAATGTTTGACGTAATAGTTAAGAAACCAGGCTAGAATCTAGGAGACCATGAACTCTAGTCTCACCTTAGCTAGAAAGCCAGCTGGGAGACTTTTGAGTCACTTTCTCCCAGCCATAGGAAGAAATTAAGAGCAAACTGCTTTTGAAATCTTACTAAGAAAACTACAGGGATATATCCAGGCAGTCATCAGGAATCAATCCTGACTTGGAGACACAACATCTGCAAGATGGTTATAATAACTGCAAAACTTTAGTGCAGAAAATGGATATTGTTCAAATTCAGTAAGACTTTTTTAAAAAAGAAGTTACTAGTTATGACTTCTTTACTTCCTCTTTTATCATTTCAGGTGTCAGGGGAGAAACAAAGTTTTGGCTTTTGCTCTTCTGGCACCTACAACCATTGTTCTTTGATACTGTTGTAGTGTATTTTTGATGTCTCTCCATCTTCTTCTGGGTCTGCCTTGTGTTCTTTGACCTTCTCCTCTTTTTGTATACACCTTGTTTGGCCTAAGACTCCCACAACATCCTCTCCAAGTGAGCAAATCACTTTATTTACTGTTTTGTGTGTAGTTGAAAATTGGTTCCAATTATTTCTCTTATGGCAGTGATGGCTAACCTTTTCCGGACCGAGTGTGCAAACTGCATGCATGCGCGTGTGCATGCATGTACCCAAACCCCCAAGATGCAATGCGTGCACACCTCCATGCATGCACGTGCGGGCCCCCAGCATGCCCCTGCCCCCACACATGCATGTGTGCTCCCCCAATGCACTCCCCCGCATATGCGCAGCAGAGACCCAAAGACCAGTTGGACGGTGGGAGGCACATGCACATGTGCAGCAGAGCTGAACTGGGGTGACGGCTCGTGTGCCATCAGAGAGGGCGCTGTGTGCCACCTCTGGCACGTGTGCCATAGGTTCGCCATCACGGTCTTATAGTCTCATTTTGGATTTTATCTCTTCTGGTCAGTCCAGCAGCTTTCCTCAAACATCTAAGTTCTGTGGTGACTAACTTTTGTTTATGTTTTTTTGTAAGTGTCCATGTTTGGCCCTGGTAACATAGGCCTTATATGAGATGCTTCTTTGCACTGATTGGTACTGCCTTATGTTGTAGGAGTGAAGCAAGCTGTCCATTCTTGGCTTGCCTTATTGCATTCTACGTGAATCTCTTTGTCCATTATACATCTTTGGTGAACATTGTTCCTAGATATTTGATCTTTGATACTTCTTTTATGATTGTTCCTTCTATTACTACATTTAGGGTATGTTTTTTTCTTACAATTAGGCTGCGAAAATATTTGCAAAATCATATGTTAATTAACACATGATACAGAAAAAATGCTGAGGCCATTGAAAGAATGTAGAGAAGAGTTTGGAGGCTAAAATTTAATCATCATTTGTCCTGAATGGTATTAAGGATTCCAGCCTTGGACAGGGGGTAGACTAAAAGACATCCAAAGTTCTTCCAGTCCTAGGATACTATGATTTTAAATGAATTTCTCCATTTTGTCATTAAGACTCTCATGGAAGTCATCAAGTTCTTGAAGGATCTTAGGGTTCCATGGGACAGTCTAAAAACCCTGTTCCACATGACATTGAGACTTTGGATGATACCGCTACTAGAACCTTTGGTCCAGGGCTTTCATGAAGATGAGTTAGCATTAAGATTAGTGAGAGTCAGTTTCATGTAGCGGTTAAGGTGCAGGCCTAGAAACCAGGAGACTGTGAGTTCTAGTCCCGCTTTAGGCATGAAGCTGGCTGGGTGATTTTAAGCCAATCATACTCTCTCTCAGCCCAAATCACCTCACAGAGTTGCTGTGGAGAAAGGAGTATTAGGTGTTTTCGCTACCTTGAGTTACTTATAAAATAATATGAGCAGGATAAAAATCTAATAAATAAGTAGTGAATGCCCACCCACGATTATATGGATTTTCCTTTCCTTTCCTATCCTTTTTTGTCATCCTAGCCATATTTTTTCTTTGTATTGTCCATTATTGCATTTTTTGTTTTTTTATTGTTGACTTGTTAGAATTCATTATCACTGAACACTTTTAAGAATCAAAGGGTGGTATCTCAGAATTGTTATTCTCTCACAATCTTTATTCTTATACCTGTAAGAACAAACCAGCTCCTCTATTAGGATAATCACCAGAAGCTGTGCTTCAAAGGATAATTGCATGGCTATTAAAAAATAAGCCATTCTCTCTTTTTCACATAACCTTGATTTTATCCCTTTTAGACACCCTATGATTTTTTTTTTTATTAAAGCCACCAGTGGGTAATTTCAGTTTCAATTGATTGATATGGCAGCTTTTTTTACTTATTTGCTTTGAAATTAGGTTGCTGCACTTGAACTTGATTTTTTGTTTTCAAAAGAGTTTTGCTTTATTTTTACATTAGCTGCTGTGACATTCAGTAAATGGAAAAGTGGTATTTAAGTTCCCCTAACAATAGCAATAGCACTTAGATTTATATACCACTTCACAGTGCTTTACAGCCCTCTCTAAGCGGTTTACAGAGTCAGCATATTGCCCCCAACAATCTGGGTCTTCATTTTACCCACCTGAGAAGGATGGAAGGCTGAATCAACCTTCAGCCGGTCAGGATCGAACTGCTGGCAGTTGGCAGAATTAGCCTGCAATACTGCATTCTAACCATTGCGCCACCACAGCTCAAATAGTCAGGACACATGATATAGGACCTGAAATGGAAGATTATAATACAATCTGGACACCAAAGCAACATGTTTGCTTGACCAATTTCTCATTAAAATATATATTTATTTTAATTTCTTCTTGTGCAAAAATACATTTTTCTTTTTTAATATACCGGTATATATATATATAAAAGAGAAGATAAACTAAATTTGCAGTTAGAATTCATCCTCATTATCATCAGGATGGTCACATGCAGAAAAGATACAAACTTTTAAGAGCCAACATTGAAGCACATATTAAAACAATATACAATTCCTTTCTTGATGTCATCCCTTTTTAATTTTTTAAGCAAAGTGTAGAAATGATAGCTTGATATTAAATCGTAGGTGTGCACAAACATCAAAAATAATTCCAAAATGCCTTGGAAAGGAGTACAACCTCTCCCCCATTCATTAAAGCAGCAGCACCTTTTACTGAAGCTCACACGGAGTAAAGTTGTGCTTCTTTAATGAAAGGAAGTGTGCTTGCGCAAATCCCAAGTAATTTCTTCCTAATTGTTTTTTAAGCATGCACTTCTCTAGTAAGTATCAAAAATGCATTTTATTTTTCTTTTTTGTGAAGCTGAATTTAGTTTTCCATATTTTGGGCAATTTGCTAAATTATAGCTATAGTCAGACATTTACCGCAATAGATACATAAGGGACAGACATTTATTTTAATGTTGTTTTTAAGGCACGTTCAGTAAGCATGTGTATTCACAATTTTCTTTGGTCCGGGACAACTTTTAACAATTGAGGCTATTTATCCAGGTAAGTGAGTATGCAGTTTTCCAAGGATATCCTTATCCTGCCCGTAGACATCTACCGCATGAACTGTATGGATGCTCTGTACACCACCATTATGTCCAGGGACCAAATGTTTACCAAGTGCATTACTGGTTTCAGCAGATTTATTTTGTAAGTCGCATTCTCCAGAACAGCGTGTTTGTGCCATGTCTCTAATCCAGTCTTCTTTGAAGCTGGAAAACAAAGAAGAGGCATTCTTTTTATTTATTTAGAAGGAGAAAAAAAAACCCAATAGCTTTGGTTTAATTTAGCTACAGAATTGCAATTTTGCTTGGCATCTGAAATTAAAAGCACAACAAGTAAGAATGTAAAATGCATAGTTAATACTTTTGTAACATGAATAGTTACAAAACTATTCAACAATAGTTACATTAATTTAAAACCAGCCTAAATGCCAGATGTGTACTGTTTGATAAAAAAAGCAATAAAAGAATATAGAGAAATACAATCAATTGTAATTATGTGCATGTAGAGGTGCTTAAAATCATAAACTTTATTCCCTAAAATGGCATAACGCCAAGACATGTTTGACAATTCTAAAATATTAACTAGTTTAATAATGAAACATGTCTTGATTTGTACCAATAAATATTTTTGTCTCTCTCTCTCTCTCTCTCTCTCTCTCTCTGGCCAAGTGTGATTGGACACACAAGGAATTTGTCTTCGGTGCATAAGCTCTTAGTGTACATAAAAGATATAAGTGATAAATCATGATATATATATATATATAGTCATATGGTACTAAATAAGCAATCAAAATCATACTAGGAAACTAAATGGCACACTATAAATTGTAAAGATACAAGCAACATTATAGTCATAAATACAAAGGAGATAGGTAATAGGAAGGATGAGAAGAATAATAGTAATACAGTCTTAATAAATAGTTTGACAGTGTTGAAGGAATTAGTTGTTTAGCAGAGTGATGGCATATGGGAAAAAACTGTCCTTGTGTCTAGTTGTTCTGGTGTGCAATGCTCTACCCTCGTCGTTGTGAGGGTAGAAGTTGAAACAATTTATGTCCAGGATATGAGGGGTCTGTAGATATTTTCACAGCCCTCTTTTTCACTCGTGCAGTATACAGGTCCTCAATGGAAGGTAGGTTGGTAGCAATTGTTTCTGCAATTCTAATTATCCGTTGAAGTCTGTGTCTGTCTTGTTTGTCTGCAGAGCCAAACCAGACAGTTATAGAGGTGCAGATATCAGACTCAATAATTCCTCTGTAGAACTGGATCAGCAGCTCTTTGGGCAGTCTGAGCTTTCTGAGTTGGTGCAGAAAGAACATTCTTTGTTGTGGTTTTTTGATGACATTTTTGATGTTAGCTGTCCATTTTAGATCTTGAGATATGATAGAACCTAGAAACTTGAAGGTCTCTACTGTTGATACTGTGTTGTCTAGTATTGTAAGAGGTAGTAGTATATGAGGGTTTCTGCTAAAACCTACCATCATTTTTATGGTTTTGAGTGTGTTTAGTTCAAGATTGTTCTGGTCGCACTACAGATGTTAGAGCAATTGGTCTGAAGTCATTCAGTTCCTTGATGGATGGTTTCTTCAGCACTGGGATGATAGTAAAGGTTCTTTGATGCCTATCTTGCAAGTACGACATCTCAGAGAGCTATGGCCTATTATCACCATTTGTGATCTTCCTTGCTAGCTTCTCACAAGCAAAGTCGATGGGGAAGCCAGCAGGAAAGGTCAGAAGTTGCTCTGATAAGAAGACATTCCCACCTGTAGCATCCTCCCATCTGTGTGCAACCTCCACTGGCCCAGGGTCTCCCCAACTCACATGCAGTCTGCCCTGGGCCTTCCAAGGTCTCCCTCAACTTCTCTAGATTCATGCATGGCCTGTGCTGGGCCTGCCAAGCTCTCCCTCTGATTTGCATCCGGCCTGTGCTGGGCCTGCCAAGCTCTCCCTCTGATTTGCACCCAGCCTGTGCTGGGCATCCAAAGCCTAGTCTGGACTCACAGACTAGTGAGGCCTTCCCACAGCCTCCCATATCCCTCTGCAGCACCCTCATCCCTCCCGTAGCACCTTGATGTTTCCATGTAGGAGTTCTGCCACTTTCCCATTCAATGACCCAAGAATCAAAAACTAGAAAGTCTATTCCCAACTACACTGTAAACCAGCTTTGCAGTCTTCACACTGACCTTTACTGGAAAGAAACTTTTGCATAATCCACATCTACACAGTCTTCTTTATGGGACTTTCTTCACTTGGATTCCTTGGAATTCTATTAATTTATCGTTTCTGACATTCAAACACCACTTTTGCAATGGCCTTAGGGAGAGCTGAAGCTATGCAAGAGCAATTACAGGAAATAATTCACTGAATATGATACTTCGTGCTTCTGACGTTGTATTAATGGATTAATGACATTGGATAGAGCATTGGATTTTCACAAAGTAATAAAAGTCAGAAGTGAAACTGAAAGGGCAACAAGAGAGGAAAAGAATGTACAATATAATTTGAAGGGAAAGGTGAGGTTGTCAGCTACGTCTGTGTTTGATTCCTAGCTTCTGGAAGGCATAGAAGATCGTTTTCAATTTTAAGGTCTGTCAGAAGGCAATAGTAATTCAAATAGAAAGTTCCCTCAGACACAAATTATTTAAAAAATGTTTGGTGTTTCCAGCCACCGAACCTTCTATCTTTCTGTAACTGACTGTGCAGAGTTGTTTTTCCAACTTGGCAACTTTCAGATGTGTAGACTTCACTCCCAGAACACCTTAGCCAGCATTAGGTTGCCAAGTCAGAAAGACACTTCTCTAGAATATTCTTTGAAGTTTTATGTCAAAGAAACAGCAGGTAGAATACTTTTGCTAGGGTAAAACAAAAGAAATTATTGAAATAATTACACGTTACGCTTAAAACACCGGTAGACATTAAATGTCATTAAAATCTGTACCTTAAAATCTCAATAGAACTCCATTTGTCTAAATCAAATTATCTTGACTCAGGTTTGATTTTTATAAGAATAAACCATAATTGTGAACAGAGTGGAGACTGGGAAAAATCAATTATCTCTAGGAATGCTATTAAAACATCAATCACAATGTTTTTAATGGCAACAATTACTGAAGATTTCTCACATCCCACATTTATAGAATTCCAAAGAAATCTCCTGAACAAATCATTTCTATCAGAATATTTATCACTAATAATTTGATCAATTAAATGATCAAATAATTACTATACTATGAGTGAATTTTTTCCTCTCATTTTCCTCTCACATTGGTGATTCTGGATCACCAGATACTCATGACAGATGTTAAAAGAGTATTAATGATTAGATTAAATATAGATTATTTTCTCCCACCGTTATTATTTGTGTAAATAATTCAAGGTGGCAAACAAGCCTAATGCTCCTTCCTTTTATTTTCCCTGTGAGATGAGCTGTGTTGAGAGAGACTGACTGGCCCAGTGGTGGGATGCTGCCAGTTTAACAACTGGTTCGGTGATTGTGTGCTAAGGCGCTTGTGCGCAGCACTGAAAATGGAGCATTTAGAAGCTCAACTTACCTTCCAAGTCAGCAATGGTAAGTAGAATAGTGAGAGGGGGGCGGAATCAGCTGTGCCGCATGATTGATATGAGCTACAAAGCAGGAAATAAAGGACAGGATAGAGCGAGGGCAAGTGGGTGGGGGGGCAGGCCAATTGATAGTCGGCACTACTGGTTTGCGTGAACTGGTCCGAACCAGCTGAATACCACCTCTAGACTGGCCCAAAGTCACTCAGCTGGTTTTTATGCCTAAAGTGGGATTAGAACTCACCTGGTTTCTAAGTGCTGGCTTAACCACTAGACCAAACTAGCTGTCTATGTTACCTGGAATAGAAGACTTGTGGAAACAAGTCTAATGGGAATTTGATCATACAGCAGTTTTTTGGGGGTGGTACATTTTATGAATATTTCAACTCACTTTGGCTTTATTTTCATAATTATTTTCCTTAAAGCTTCATTATTCTCTTGCAGATGGCAACTCAGTCACAGATTTTGTGAAACTGGAAAGAACGACCCTGATGTTGGTAGGACTTTGACAGAAGTGACAAAATAATCATAACGTGGATAATTTAATCTTAGCAGAAAAACTGATGCATAAATCAAGAGTGTTGAGAAATATAGTTAAACCTAATTCTTAGCTACAAAAATTCGAGAAAGTGGAGTCACCAACACTGCTCATTTGATTATATCACATTCATTGTTTGGAAGAATACATTGAGATGCATTAGATCAGCAATTAATTAAATTTTTGCTTTTTATTTAGTTTACAGCAATCAAGGAATGACTACGGGTTCTAGCAGCCCAGTTTTTGGAAGCATCTGTGAGGAATGTAAATTTGAAAGTACAGTATACAAGTGCTATCATTTCAACGGAGGGATGACTTCTTTGTACTTTTAAATTCTGAGGTATTTTAGTTTATAAGGAGTGTATCAAAGGTATACATGATATGACAACAGGATGGGCATGTGCATAAATATGCATTTTTATTCCTACAAATGTGTATGAATAACTGTATTTACATGCAGATTTCACTTGTAGAATCAGCAGTATATTTTGACAGTTTGATTGGTGTCTGTAGTTTTAGTCTTATTTTGCATTGCTTTTTTTAAAAAAAGAAAAAAGAAAAAAAATAATACAGTAAGCACCAATGGCATTCAGAAAAATTCCCTTAATTTTCCTTTGTTATTATTGCTTTTTGCCAGAAGGGATAATAATGTTAATAGCACTAGCAATAAAAAGATGCTTGCACAGTTAAGACATTATAAGTGTGGTCACATATTTTCTGACAGATGTTAAAAATGGCTTTGCAAATAAATTTCCTCCAAAAGGGAGTGGAACAAAAATTCTTGTACCAAAATATACATTTTAGTGGCAGTAATAGATTCTTTATGAGAAAATCATGCACAAGGGAACACCATGTTTGCAACAGCATAATACTATATAAAGAAAACAGAATTACATTGCTTTAAATATTGTTTGACTTCGTTGTCTCCACCAAAAGGAAATTATTTAGACTCAAACGAATAACTGCACAACAACCTGAAAACCACTGATTTATCTATCCTTTAATTCAAAATAGTTTTATGCTACTCTATATCCAAAAAAACCAAGAGGGCCTATAAAGTGTAATTAAAATAAATCCTAATCAGTGGTGGGATTCAAAACATTTTACTAGC